TGAACTGTGCATGTAGAAATTTTTGAAATGGTGTATCTTTGGCTATGTATATTTTCACCAAAAAAAAAAAAAAAGGTCAAGAAGGGAGGGGGTTGACATGTTGTGGGGTTGTTAACCAATGTCATAAAATAATATGTGTACTACTGTTTAATGAGAAACTATTTGTTCTGTAAACCTTTACCTGAAGTACAATTAAAAAAGAATAAAAAGTAAAAAAAAAGATTCCCAAGTTTAGTGTTTTTCAAAGGGTGGTGTGTTCACAATGGGGGGCCCGCAAGATAAATAAGTGGTACACGGAGGAACATTTTTTTATTGTGATAGTTATATGCTTGTTTCAACATTTCCTAGAAAAATACCGGCTTGCCATTGTAAGCAGTGACCTAAATTTTCTTTTTAAAATATACTTTCAAGTAAACAAAAAGTGAATTGATTAAACACATATATTAAGTAAATAATGGTTTAGGTGGTAATGCAGATAAGGCAAAATTTGTGACAGTGATATGGGAGTGGCTGAGGCTTGGGACACACTGGTGCACTCCAGCTTCCCTGATTTACAGATGAAGAAAGGACTCCCGGGATGTGGTGTGCCTGTGATCACACAGTTAGTGGCATGGCCCAGCTATAATTCCAGTACCCTCCTTCCCAGCTCTTTCTTTCCATAAAAAATGCTGGGTATGCTCATTTAAATTATTATTATTATTGGTTATCACTAATAATAGCACTTAATATAACAGCTCCACCACTTGTCTGTCAGTTTCTCATACTGTGGTGACTATGATGCTGGAAGCTATGCCACCAGTATTTCAGATACCAGCAGGGTCACCCATGGTGGACAGGTTTCAGCGGAGCTTCCAGGCTAGACTAGAAAGACAGGCCTAGCAATCTAACTTCCGAAAATTAGGCAATGAAAACCCTTTGGATCACAACAGAATATTGTTCGATGTAGTGCTGGAAGACGAGCCCCCTAGGTTGAAAGGCAATCAAAATACACATTGGCCGCAACAAAGGACTTGAACATATCAGTGATTGTGAAGATGGCTTAGGACCGGGCAGCATTTCGTTCTGTTATACGTGGAGTTACCATGAGTTGGAGCCGACTGGATGCCAACTAACAACAACATATAGCAGCTGTTATATGCCAGAGACTGTTCTCAGCGTTTTACATGTTACGATTCATTCCTCACAACAACCCTGTGAAGTAGGTATTACTACTATCCCAGTTTTACGAGATGGGGAAGCTGAGATACAGCGAGCTTAGTGTCTTACCTGGAAGCATACAAGTAATAAGTGGTAGAACTGGGAGCTGAACCCCAGCAGGCCAGCTTCAGTCTGTGTTCTTAGCCTTTTACTCTAGTCCCTTTCATATGAGTCACCAATATTCGCTGTAGATATTAGCTATTTTAAATAATTCCAGGTGAGTGTTTTTATTCATGGGGTAGCAAGACCTTTGCTCCTAACCTTAGTCTTGTTAGGGGTGAGAGCTCTTGGCTGGATGCCAGGGCACTGCGTTCCCAGGCCAGCCCCATTCTTGGTCATCTCACTGTACCTGCCTGTCCTCTTCACCACTGGACAGTGTAGGGGTGGTCGCTGGTCAGTTCAGCCCGTGCAGGTCCCACCCTGGCCCTTAGGCTGAAGTCACTTCCCTATGGCCACATTCCTCCAAATGTGAGTACTACTGAGCCCGTGTCCCTTCCCCATGCTGATGATATGCTTTGTTTCCAGGCATTTACGAAAGCGATGACATCAATGCCATTGTGTCTGAGATGGAAAAGGCTCTCAACTACTCCCAAAAGGTGAGCCTAGTGTCCTGATCCACTGACAACCAGGCTTCAGATGAAACACTGGTGTTTCCCAGAAGGCAATGGGTTTGGGTCTATATGTTGTAGCCACCCTGGCGTCCTTTGAGTTCCTGAACGCATCAAGCTCATTCCTAAACTCGTTCCTAATCTGAGGGCCTTTGCACCCACTGTCTCCTCTGCCTGCCATTCCCATCCCAGGTCAGAAAAAGGATCTGGGCTGGGGAATGAGATTTGGGCCAGTTCAGGCTCTGGGGGTGGACAGAGAGCGTGTGGATGGGCCTGGTCAAGGCAGGGAGGAGCCTGGGAAGGAGACACATCCTGCCTCACTTTTTTTTTTTTAAATAATGTTATAAGTTTCTCTTTTGTTGTTACTGTGGTAAAATAGAAGGAGCAGTGGTTAAACGCTCGGCTGCTAATGGAAATGTCAGCAGTGTGAACCCACCAGCCGCTCCAAGAGAGAAAGATGTGGCAGTCTGCTTCTGTAAAGGTCTCAGCCTTGGAAACCCTGTGGGGCAGTTCTGCTCTGTCCTATAGGGTCTCTGTGACTTGGAATTGAGTCGAAGGCAATGGATGTGGTAAAATACATAAACCGTAAAATTCACCATTTTAACCATTTTAAAGTATGCAATTAAGTGGCATTAAGTATTTGTTGTGCAACCAGCCCCTCTACCTAGTTGCAGCGCACCTCCCATTTTAAGAACATCCCTTTTCGGGGAGGACTCATCGTTCCGACTAGACTGTGAGCTCCTTGGGCTGAGAGAGCACATCTCCATGTTCTTTCCTTCCCCTGTGGCTCCCTTAGACTTGCCTTAGCTGTTCTCCCTGAGAGGGCTCCTCTTGGGCTTCGTCACCCTTCTCCTCAGGTGCCATCAGTCCCACCCCTCATCTGATAAACTCATTCTCAAGGTGTTAGTGGACAAGGATGGCTTAATCCACCCGTCATAGAGGGCTTACTTACATTTTAATGGTGTCTTCTACTGCTTTGAGAATAAGTTGTTGTTTTTGTTAGTTGCCATAGAGTCAATTCCAATTCCCACTCGTGGCAACCTCATGTGTGCAGAGTAGAACTGCTCCATAGGGTTTGCAAGGCTGTGACCTTTTTGCAGCAGATAGCCAGGCCTGCCTTCCGAAGTGCCTCTGGGGAGGTTTGAACAGCCATCCTTTCAGTTAGTAGTACAGTGCGTAACCGTTTGTGCCACCCAGGGTTTGACAATAATTGCTGGAGAACATTTTAGGCAATTGAGAAATTTGTAGGCAAAAGGAACCAAGTATTGCACCACTGTCTGGCCAGTGTCTGGAGTCAGCCTGGGCACATGGAGAGCTGACGGGCGTTCGTGGATGCTGGGCACACAGTGTCTGACAGGAAGAGCACTGGCTTTGGAAGAGGACCCCCGCCCCCCTCAACCGGGTGCAAATGGCAGCTCCTCTGCATACTCAGCAGTGGGGGCTTGGGCAAGTCCCTTCGGTTCGTGGAGCTTTGGCTTCCTCATCTTTAACATGGGGATAACAATAACACCTGCCTCACTGGGACAGCTGGCATACCTTGTTGGCAGAGGGTTCAAGAGCACCGGGCATTAATTAGCCCAATGCCCTCCATATGTGGTCGTTATTATTACTAACAGGCTTTATCTGCAGTGCTCTCAGCCCCAGGCCACGCTCTAGAGGCACAAAGAGGAATCCAGGGGATGCCAGAGGTCGCTGGGTACCCAGTCTCCCTGCTGCATGTATATATGTGTGTATTTGTGTGTGTATGTGTGTGAGCGTATGTGTGTATATGTGTGTATGAGTATATGTGTGAGTGTGTGTTTGTGTCTATTGTGTGTGTGTATATGTGTTTGCATGTGTATGTGTATGTGTATGAGTGTGTGTATGTGTGTTGTGCCTATGTGTGTGAGTGTGTATATGTGTATGTGTGTGGAGTGAATGTATGTGTATATGAACGTGTATATATGTATGAGTGTATGTGTGCATGTGTCAATGTGTATGTGTGTATATGTATATGTGTGTATGTACATGTGTATGTGTATATGTGTATGAATGTGTGTGTGTTGTGTCTGTATGTGTGTGAGTGTGTCTGAGTGTATGTGTATGAGTGTTAAGTGATATATGTGTATATGTATTTGCACGTGTATGTGCGTATGTATGAGTGTGTGTATGTGTGTTGTGTATGTGTGTGTGTGTTGATTGAGTGCATGTATGTCTATATGAGTGTGTATATGTGTGTGTGAGTGTGCATGTATGTGTGTGTGAGTGTATATGTATGTGTGTGTGTGAGTGAGTGCATGTGTGTGTATGTGTGTGAGTGTGTATGTGAGTATATATGTATGTGTGTGTGTGTGAGTGAGTGTATGTGTGTCTGTCTGTCTGTCCACTGCCTGGAGGCACACAGTGGCCAGGGATGCTGCTAACCCACACCCCCATTGCAGTGTGCCTTACTCATGGCCTCCCTGAAGAACCAGTCGGGAAAAGAACTGGAAAGTGCTGCTCTTCCTAAAGAAAAGCCAAAGATGCTCAAGCAAAGAAGTCAGCCTGGAAACCCCCGTCCTCTGAAGCCCACAGCCCTCTCCGTGGCCAGAATGGTTTGACTCCCCTCACTGATAACACGTAGAAGATTTGGTTTCCGTCTTGTCTCCTGGTCTTTTCTAGATCTTAATGTGGCTGGGGCCAAGGCCCCCAGAGCCTAGGGCCAGAGAGGGTAGGGGCAGGGTCTTCAGTGATGAGTGTCCCAGGGTGCCTCCAGCCCTGACTTCCAGGGGAAAGAATGCCCTTGGGGACCTGCTCCTCAGCTTTGGGGGCACCTCTGGCTTCCTCTCCCCCATCCACGTTTGGTTCTGTCTGGCTATCCCAGCTTTGTTTTGGAAATATATATACATATATATATATACGCTGAGGATTCCATGGTGTGGGCACCCCCCATTGCATCTATGGCTGTAAGGCATGAGGCTGATCTGAAGCGCCTCTCGGGACAGCTAGTGGGCCCTTGCTGCTGCTGCCCATGATTTAGCAGGGGCCCAATGGGAGCAAGAGCCTGGGGGAGGGCCTGTGTCTGCGAGGGGCTTATCCCCATATACAGCCTGTAAAATCTGTCCTGCCTAAAATACTTTCAGCAATCAGGAGGAGTCTCTAGAGGGGTAACTGGGGGAAGACCCTAGAATCAACAGCGCTCGTGAGCAAAAGGGGCACTGAGATCTATGAGGTCTTCGGCGTTTCACTGACAACAGATCCCTGTGAACACAACAGGTTTTCTGAATGCGGAAACCTCCCAGGGAATTCTGTCCACAAGGCACTGCCCTTGTTCAAAGAACTCCACCAGGTTTCAGAAGTTAGCCCAGTCACATTGCCCTCTCCTGGTTCCATGCGGCGGTCTGTGGTGAAATCCCAGAATCCCAGGGCCTACTCTTGGGACTTTAGTGGTTACTGAGCTGGTTCCATGTGTGGAGGTTAGGTCACACCAAGGCCTCTAATGGGAGCCCCTGAGAACAGGGCCAGAGGCTCCCTGGAGAGGCAGTGCCCAGACATGTCTCATGGAGTCTGGTCCAAAGGTCTCTTCAGCTGGCATGAGGCCCTGTGTGACATTTAACTATCTCTGAATTCCACTATGCTCAATAATGAAGGGGCCCTTCCCTTAAAACCAAGGAGTCCAGCAGGGCAAAGAAATTACCCGAATGGTTGCTTGTCATGCTGGAGACCCAGAAATCCCAGTCTGGTAGGAAATGGGGCAGGTAACTGGTGAAAAAAGTTCTGGCAAATCCTCTCTACTGTCCTAGCGCTCTCTAGCATATTCTCTCTCTCTCTCTCTCTCTCTCACACACACACACACACACACATGCACACACACACACAGATGCAATTTTTCACCTCAAAACCCAGAGTCCTTTCAGAATCTTCTGTAGGAGATGGGTCAGACATGTCCTGAGGCATTTCCTTGGGCCTCCTCTAAGCCCCTTTCTGCAAAGGTTCCTAGTTGACAGACTGAGGCTGGGGTGACTGGGGTACTGCCCACCACAGAGACCAGGCTACTGATGGGAAAGACTGCCTGTTTTCTAGAGCATTAAAGATGACTCTGACAGAGAGAAGAGTCCCTCCTTGAAAGCTCTGAAATGGCATCCACTCAGTGGCAAAGCAATCATCCCATCAGGTAAGGCACAGCCATGGTGAGACTGGGAAGGGAGGGTGGAAGGACAGCACAAGCATGGCTGAGGCAGGCCCCCGTGCTATGGTGAATCCTGTATCAATAATGAGTGTCACTAAGACAATCAGTGATCGTGAGTCTTGATCATGTCCCAGACCTTCTGCTAAAATTGTCCAATTTAAAGCTTCTAAGAATTCAATGCAGTAGGTACTCTATGAGTTCCCCATTCTACAGATAAAGAAACTCAGGCTCAGAGGGGCTAAGGATAGTATGCCAGTTGGTTGTGATAAGGCACCAGTATTTTTATGAAAGTACTCAGCTCATAGGACCTAAGACCGTGTATCTAATTTTGAATGTCAAAGGCATAGAAGATTGATTTGGAGCATACTTGTGGAGTCAGCAAGACCCAGACTGGAATTTTGGCTCTACTTCTTATTCACTGAGTCCCACTTGCCTCATCTGTACACGGGGGTTAGGGGGGTTATGAGGATAAAATGAGACAGTGTATGGAAACAACTTATCACCATGCCTGGTAAATATCTTCACCCCGACTGTGGTTGAGTGGACTCCAACTCTTGGCAACCCAATGTATGTCAGAGTAGAACTGTGCTCCATAGGGTTTTCAATGGATGATTTATCAGAAGTAGATCACCAGGCCTGTCTTCCGAGGTGTCTCTGAGTGGGCTCGAACCTTCAACCTTTTGGTTAGCAGCCAAGCATGTTAATCGTTTGCACCGCCCAATATCAGGACTTGGTACCTGGTAGCTCTAGCTGTTGCTGATCCAGGTGAGGTCAAGGGGTGCTGGGGTACCTCAAGGCCACCTTGGAGTGCCATCTTACAGGACACAGCATAGCTGAAGTTGAGGAGCCTCTAAGCCAGGCAGGACAGCTTCACCACATGAACCCCAAGGCTGCTCCAGCCAATAGACCAAATGTCCCCTAGCTCCAGCACAGTCAGTGAAAGAATGGACTACAGAACGGAAGAGGAAGAAGAAAAAATCATGGGAAGTAGAGGCATCTCTCTCACTGTTTTATACAGATACAGGGAATAACGTGGGTAAGTTGGGAGCATGAACCCCACACAAATGTCTGGGTAGTGCCTCATCCTGTGGGAACTGTAAGGTCAGCAGGCCCCCTGGGAAGGAGGTCCCTCTGGAGCAGGTCCATCCTCAAACAATTCAATTCTCTCAGGCAGGGAAATGGACCTATGAAGTTTTGACACTGGCAAGAGAATGAGAAAAGTTAATATTGAATATAAGATCCCCTTGAGATCCTTGGGCTGGCACTCAGGCTCCATCCACTGCTGGGGCAAGAGGCAGTGTCCTGAGCTCTGAGGCTGATTGGGAAGGGGTGGAGATGATTCCTGTCAGCCAGCCTGATTAGTTCCTGTGAAATGGTACCCATCCCAGTAACAAATCATTGATGCTGTGGTAAAGAGAGATCCCCTTAAGAGCCTTCCACCTAACAGCCTCCCTTTCTGCCTCTCAGCAAATTGCACCTAAGGAATTGTGCAACTGACTTGATTGACAGGGAAATTGATGGGGCAAAAGGAAAAGTGAGAGGAGAGTTGGGCCTTGAGGTACACAGGTAACCTCACTCTGTTTCTCCTAGGCTCAGTGTACAAGAAGTACCCTCAGGGAAGGGGTGTAAGGAGAACTAGATCTTCTACTGAGTTGCCCAGAAATGATAAAATTTGTTCGAGCCAAGAGGTATTGTCTCCACCAGCACATGACCCCTAGGCAATAATTCTATCTACAAGCCATTACTTGTAGGAAGGTGGGCCTACTTGGAAATGAAGACAAATCCACTTAGAATGACTGCTTAATGTGGTGATGGGATAAGGGTTAAACAGACCTAGGTTTGAAACCTGGGTCTGCCGCTTCCTCACTTGGTGACCATGGGCAAGTCATTTAGCTACTCTCAATCTCAGTGTCCTTGTTTATAAAGTGAAGACAGTTGTACTCATCTAATAGGACTGATGTGAGGATTAATTGAAGTGCATTTTGTGCAAAGTACACTTAGTTGTACCAGGTGCTTTTGTTTGCAAGCCACAGAAATCCGCCTCCTTGTTTTATCCACAAGATAGATAGAACATCTTTCTTCCCACAAGCATCCAATAAGAGTCCGAACTTGGTTCTGGATGGGCCAGTCCTGAATGCTGTGCTTTGATTGGTTTGGGCATGCCTATTCTTGTATCCATCACTGGGGCAAGGAGACTGGGATTATCCTGATTGGTTTAGAGTCTGACCTTCAGACCAATCAGGGCTTTTCACTCAAATTTTGCGGGGGAGGGTAGAAATGGATGTTGTGGAAGCAACTATGTCCGCTAGACTAGGGAGTGTGCGTGCTCCATGAATTTTGTCCACGTGCCCATATTTCTTGTGCATCTCTGCCCATAGGCAGGGAAGGAATCTGCATGCAATGGATGCTCAGTGAGGGCCTAGGAACCCCACAGGTCAACCATTTGAGATTGATTTAAAAAATGAGGTTTACAGAGAAGAGTCAGACAATCATTCAGTTACGTCTGAATGATCTGAGATAGTGGTTTTTAGTTTTATTAGTTCTCCTTTATTTTAAAGTGGGTGGCCAATTATGGGCTCAAAAAACTGAAGATGGAGATCTCCAGACACATCGGTCCCAGTTGCACTCATCAAAAGACAGGACAGGGGTCGGCATCAGCCAAACACTGCAGTGTCTTCCCCAGCGTCGAGATCAATGTAAGTCATAATTGTTTTTCTTACCCCAAGTCCTGCCTCTTCTCAGCTGCAAATTGCTGAGTAGTGTGTTGTAGAAAACACCATGTGAATGCACACCATGGCTCATGTTCCTGCTATTAAGATGCTTCCACCCCCCTTAAGGTGGGATGCCCTCAGGGAGTAGGAGATGCAGAATCCTGTTGGAAGAAAAGCCAACCCCCATTGTACCGGAGGACAGCCTTCTGGGTTACAAGGCGCTTTAGAGCAAGGGCATAGGGCAGTGGCTGAAGGAGTCACCAATCAGGACTTTATGCCCCAAACATTGCCATAGTTCTTTTAGGATGGTGAGATGATTGTGGTGGGACGAGGGAGAAGGAGGGGGAGGGGAAGAGCATGAGGAGGGTTCTCTTCTTTTTTGGGGGGTGGGGTAATTTTTAACATTGCTTTGACCCTGGAACAAGTACATTTAGAAAAAAATGAAAAGCTAAGCATGCTTTTTTATAAGACCTCATTTATGCTCCTTACTCTTTTATACTGCATTATCAATGTTAGGAGAAACTGCAAAGCTAAAAATAGCCACCAAATTTAAATTATCCACCAGAAGAATTTTACAGTCGTTTCATAAACATGCCCTCTCTCCATCCAAGGCAATCTTTTTGGTTTGAAATTTGTGGACATCACACCCACCATGGGACTTGTCATTACAGGTTTTCTATTTTAAATTTAGAGATATCATGCTTTTTATTATTACGGCCGCCACATTTGCCCAAAGCCATCATTCCAAATCCCCCACTCCCTCCTAGAACCATAAATCCTGGTAGTTTAATAAAAACAAAAAATTTTTCTAAATTTACTAAATGTTAAAAAAAAAAATATGCTTAAGGGATGTTTTGGAAATTATTAACCACAAATGGAATAAGCTGTTCTGATTGTTGATGGGGAAATGGAGAAATTCATGGGGTGGGGGGCGGAGGGTGGTGAGGATTTGCCTTCACGTGCCTTAATGCAGGGACTGGTAAGACACCTTCAGTGCACGCTCTGGGAAATCGAAACATACATCACATGCCTGGAGAAGGTGATGAGGCGCTACATCCAGAGGCTGCAGTGGCTGCTGTCTGGTGAGCCCTTGCTGTCGTGGAGGGCAGAAGGGCATGAGGGACCCCCAGGTCAGTCCTTCCAGGCCGGTGACTCAGGAGCTGTCAGGTCAGGATGACCATCTGTGTACAACATGGCTTGTGGGTGCAGAAGTCAGGCAGGGTGCTGTTTGTCGAGGGCTGAGTGACAGGGAGATGGTGCACAGGCCAAAGAGCACCACAGAGAACCCATCAAGGCTGCTGTACAAGGCCACCCTCCACACCTTCCCTTCCTGGATGTGACTGAGGGGCTCACCTTCAAGAGGCTTCCATGAAGATAGAGATGGTGAGGGGATCCTGACAGAGCGGAAGCCTTCCCTTCTTTACAAATAGCACCAAGACCCCTCCAGGAGGGTTGAATGGCTGGGCTGAGGAGAGTCAAGCTCACACCCAGAGGAGGGTAGGCTGGGAACTGAGAGACAGTCTGAAGCACCCAGTCCAAGAACCAGATGGGAAAGCATTTAGGCTTTGGGGCCTGAAAGGGTTCCTGGGGCAATAGGAGGTAGGAGATGCATTTATAGCAAGCCTACAGGTGGCCCTGTAGAAATCCATTAGGTCCAGTCCTCTGCAGTAGAAGCTGGTAGAAGCAGTCCTAGGGCAGTGGGGTATGGCAATGACTGCCACTTTCCAAAGCCTCTGGAGGGGCTGCAGGCTCCAAGTGTAACTGTCAGGTCAGAGCCTGAGGTAGGGTGAAGAGCTTGCATGCCTCTCCCCACTTGCAATTCTTATTTACCACTGGGAAGTGTGTGAAGACCAGAGATTTACCCACTACTTTTGTAGTACAAGGTTCCCACCTCACATACCCAAACACACACCCAAACACATTCTCCAACTCTTCAAAACTTACCCAGGGGATGCGTCATTGATTCATTAGTCAAATAAGCGTTGCTTTCCTGCTAGGTTCTGGGGAGACAATGGAAGGCAAAACCCAACATGATCCTTGAGGTCATGGAGTAGATGGTCTAGGCAGAGACAGACAAAGAGTCTCACAAGTCTCCACAAGTCTAAAATCAAAACTGTGATATGTGTAGGGAGGCAAGGGACATGGTGCAGTGGGAGCCTGTAAGAGGGACAGTTGCCTGGAAAGTCAAAGAAGGCTTCCTTGTGGAGGTGATATCTGACCTGAGATCTGAAGAATGAGTAGATGCTAACTGGGCAGAGAGAAAAAAGATGGGCATGGGCTGAGACCCTGAGCTAGAGAGAGCATGGTGAGTAGGAAGGGCTGAAGGGAAGCCAGTGTGGCTGAGTGAGGGATAGTATCAGTGAGACCATCCTAGAGAGATGAGGCCATGGCACAGACTCTGCTCTTTATCCCAAGAGCAATGGGAAGCCATTACCATTAAAAGGTTTTAAATAAAGGGAAAGTCGGTTATATGGTAAAGTTAGCACTTGCAATAATCCCTCTGGTTGCTGTGCGGAAAATAAATTGTTGAAGGGATGAAGTAGAATCAGGGTGACCTAGTAGTGGCCTAGGTGAAAGATGAGGACAGGTGGAAAAGGGTGGCATTGGTGGAGATGGACGGAGTGCATAGAGTTAGAGAGGTTTCAGAGGTAAAAATGACAGGGCTTAGTAGCTAGCAATGTTTCTACTGTCTGGTTCCTAAAATGGATCAGCAGGCCATTTGTGGCTGTCTGTCTGGATATTCCATGGAACTTCCCCCATGCCTCAGGGGGAATCATGTCCCCATTTTGCTCTTGTTCTCATTTTGATATAAGCATGACCAGAGGACACCCCAGATGAGTGCTGGGAGGCTCCTGGCAGTGGGTACAGCCAGCTCAGCCCACGAGGTTTCCTGGTAAGCAGGTCCATTTTGCAGCAGATTTTCCATTTTACCTCCTGCCTCCAATGAGGGCCCAGAGGCGTCAGTGGAGAACAGGCCCTGCCCTGGACACAGCATCTTCTGCTGTTTGGCTTTCCCATGTGTTATCTCCCTTTAGCCAGTGGAGCCACAAGCACTAGGATTAGAGGGTGCCTGACTACAGCCTGGATCAGAGGACTGGGTTTGAATCTAGCCTCCACCACTGCCGGTCTGCGTGAACCTGGGCTAGTCGACAGCTCTCTTGGTTTCCCCTTGGGATAAATTCCAAATCCTTTCATAATCTCTCCAGCTTCTCCAGCTTTATCTCATGTCCCTCTTTCCATGGGTCTCTCCACCCAACCTTTTTTTAATTCCCCACATTGGCTTTCTCTCACTTCCTTAAACATGCCACGCGCTGCCCTCCCTCCTCAGAGCCTTTCCACAGGCTGTTCTATCTGCCATGAGCTCCCCACCCCCACCTCTTTCCTTGGCTGTTACTCATCTTCAGCTTTAGTGGTAGCTTCTTTGCCCGCTACCCTATATCCAACTAATTTAGTTTTCCCCATTATATGTTCCCACAGAAGCATCCACTTGTTCGTAGCTCTCAGCAGATTTTTTTTTTTTTAAATAATATGTTGTTGTGTTTTCAGTGAAAGTTTACACAGCAAATTGGTTCCCATTTAACAGTTTCTACACAGATTGTTCAGTGACATTAGTTACATTTTTCACAATGTGCCAGCAATCTCTTTAATTGCGTTCTGGTTGTTCCCTTTCCAGTACTCTAGTTTCCCTGCCCTCCTCCCTTATCTTCTCATCTTTGCTTTAGACTAATTGTAGACCTTTTGGTCTTCTGTAGTTTTTTAATGGAGCACTGTACTCTGAGGTAATATCTTTTATTTTGTGTGCCAATCTATTATTTTTCTGAAAGATGACCTCAGAAGATAGTTTTGGTTCAAGTATCTCAGGGCAATAGTCTCAGGGAGTTCTCTGGTCTCAACTAGTCCAGTAAATCTGGACTTTTTAAGAATTTGAGTTCTGTTCCGCGTTTTTCTCCCATTCTATCAGGGTCCAACTACTGGGGCCCTGATCAGAACAGTCAGTAGTGGTAGCCAGGCACCATCTAGTTCTTCTGGTCTCAGGGTAGATGAAGCTTCATCAGAGTTTTAATCAGTCATTTAATATCTGTCTTCCTTGCCCAACTGTAAGCTCCGTGAGGGCAGGCACCCTCTTTTGTTCACTGCTGTACTTTGCCTGCCACATAGTAGATGCTCAGTTAATTTCTGTTGGCCACTTGACTGACTGCATGCTGTCTAACATGTTTTCCAGCCCAAAGCAATACTATGACACTATTAGTCCAACCACTTAATTTTAGAGATGAGGAAACTCAAGCTCAGAGATTATAACCGCTTGAGCAAGTCACCACAGGCAGAGCCAGTGCTGAAATCCCTATCTCTCAAAGACTAGACTCTCTGACCCACTCTGCCCTTGGGCCATTGCCCCCTCCAACGGCACCACAGAGACCATCTGCCAGTGGACTAACCAGTTGCCATGGAGTCAGCTTTGACTCATGGTGACCCCATGTGTGTCAGAGTAGAACTGTGCACCATAGGTTTTCAATGGCTGATTTTTTGGAAGTAGATCACCAGGCCTTTCTTCCAAAGTGCCTCTGGGTGGACTCGAACTTCCAACCTTTCAGTTAGCAGCCGAGTGCTTACCGTTTGCAACACCCAGGGACTCCTCCCAGTGGATTGACATCTGATAAATTATCAGTCAGGTAACAGGTGTTGCAAAACCGGGGATCTGATAGATACAGTGAGGAAAACCACCCAGGAGGAGAGACCCTTCACTCCTTTCCTGCCTCTGTTACCACCCACCTCGGAGCAGGGAGCCGCCGACTGTTTGGCGCCATCTTGGAGAGCAAAGTGTGCATCCTCCTGGACACATCAGGATCCATGGGCCCCTACGTGCAGCAGATGAAGACAGAGCTGATTCTGCTGATTTGGGAACAGCTGCGGAAGCACTGTGAGAGGTAGGAGGCAGGGGTGTGGGCTCAGTGAGATAAAAGGGCCAGCTCCGGGCTTCCCTGGCCAAGGCCATTCCCTCCTAGCAGTTCCAGCAGGCCTGGGGGGTTCTGAAATGCTCTTCTGAATTGCTGATTTGAGCCAGAAGGAACACTGTATTCTGCTGCAGAAGTAAAGTGGGTCTTAGAAATCCATCTCAGGCCCAGGGACAACTGCAAGCAGAGCCTTGCAATTGAAATGTGCATTTCAGTTGAACTTAATTTTTTAAAAAAGGAGGCATGTGTTTGTTGTCTCTACCCAGAAAGATCCACTGTAAGGGGACACCAAGAGACTCTGGCCCTAGGCTGGGACTCATTCTTGCCTTAATAAGAGTAAACATTTATTAAGGAGCCCTGGTGGCGCAAATGGTTAAACACTGGCCTGCTGAGAGGTTGGCAGTTCAAATCCACCCAGCAGCTCCACGGGAAAAAGACCTGGTGAACTGCTTCTGTATAGATTACGTCCAAGAAAACCCTATGGGGTAGTTCTACTCTGTCCCATGGGATCATTATGAATCAGAATAGACTCAACAGCACACAACAACAAGCATTTATTGAGTTCTTTCCCTGTGCCACGCACTTTAACTCATGATTTGATTCCATCCTCACAACAACCCTATGAGGTATTGCTGTTGTATCCCGTTTTCCAGACAAAGAGACTAGGATTTAAAGAAGTTAAAGTTTAAGCCAGGATTTAAAGGAGGTAAGTGATTTGCCCAAGATCATATAACCTTTAAGTGGCTGAGTTGGGATTTAAATCCATTTCCGTCTGCATCCAGAATCTTCATTGTGTACCTTCTCATTCGAGAGGGCCCATAGCCCTCTCCCTGAGGGGCCACAGGCTCTCTGTAAGGGTCTTCACTGAGATTAAGTGAATAGTCCTCACTAAGGTTAAACGAAAAAGCCAAACCCATTGCCGTCGAGTTGATTCCGACTCATAGTGACCCTATAGGACAAAGGAGAACTGCCCCATAGGGTTTCCAAGGAGTGGCTTGGTAGATTCGAACTGCCCACCTTTTGGTTAGTAGCCAGACTCTTAACCACTGAGCCACCAGGGCTCCTCGCTAAGATTACTTCACCGGAATTCAATGTAGACTGGTCGGTTCTAACCAGTTTCTTTCTCTTCTTCTCTGCTTCCACCTTCTCTTCCCCTCTCCCCAGTTTTAACCTGATCAGCTTTGCAGAGGGCCTACAGCCATGGCAGGAAACCTTGGTGGCAACCACAGATGCAGCGTGTCGCGAGGCTATGCAATGGGTGACCCATTTGGAAGCTCAGGGGAACACCTCAGTCTTGCAAGCATTACTGGCAAGTTCCGACACTGAGCCCAATCCCCACACCATCACCTATACTGATATTATGAAGGTTGCCTTCCATCTGCATGATGCTTTAGAATTTACAAAGCACTTTAGCATTTACAAAGTGTTTTTCACACTTATTTCATCTTTCCCACAACCCAGTGAGAGAGGGATTCTTGTGGTTCCCACTTTTAGATGGAGACACAGAGTTTCAGGAAGTTAAGTGACTTGCTTGGGGTTAACCAGCTAGGAAATGGGCCATGGTTTTTGCCCTTCCTGGTTAGCTCCACGAGTCCCTGAGTGGTACACATGGTTAACGTGCTTGGCTGCTAACCAAAAGGTTGGAGGATCGAGTCCAGTCAGAGGCACTTTGGAAGAAAGGCCATTGAAAACTGTGTGGAGCGGTTCTATTCTGACACACATGGGGTCGCCGTGAGTTGGAGTCGACTCAACAACTGGTTTTTGGTTAGCCCCTGCCTTTGAGCCAGCCGAACTTCCCATGCTGTTTCAGAAAGCTTTCAGCTTTCCTGATGTGGAAGGATTGTACCTGCTGACCGACGGGAAGCCAGACACAAGCTGCAGCCTTATTCTAAGTGAAGTCCAAAAACTCAAGGAGAAAAGAGACGTGAAAGTGCACACCATTTCCTTTAACGGCTCAGACAGGTGAGCAAGGAGGAGTCACCTGAGTTTTTTTACCTTTCGCCTGGCCACATATCTGAGGGGAGGGTCTGAGCCACTTCACCCAATCCAGGGACTCACCTTAGACGGTGACCTCTCCTGGGCCCAGATCCCATGACTTAGACATTAGGAGTTGCATTGTTTTCCTAGAGGGCCTGCACAGGTGTTACACCCCAAAGTGGAAGTACCTCTCTCCACCCCTAACCTGCCCATCAATAGGGCGCGCTCTGACTTTCTCCATCAGGGAGACAGATTTGCACTGATTCACCCAGTCATGTTTTATTCTCCCTAACGATCTCTGCTTGGGAGCACATTTGTGAATATTTAGGGAAAAGCTAGAGATGAAAACATAACAGATTAATGTAACATTGTTACGGTTCTTTCTATAAAAGGTCACTACAGAAGAACATTTGTTAGATAACAGAGATTCCACGCCTTCAGAAAAACTTTAATATTGTTATTAAATAACAATAATAATAAAATTATTTTAAATTATTTAAAAATTATTAAAAACTGTGGCTACTATAGTAATTTAGGGACATATTGGATCTGCTGGTCTCAACCATAAGCTCCATAAAGATCAGACCACGTCCCTCACTGGCCCAACACATAGTAGGCACTGGATAAATGTCCAGTAAATGAATGGGGGCTGGAATGTGCTGGCCATGTTCTTTGAGGGAATCCAGGCTAAATGGCAACATCAACATGGTGAACCCCCCTCACTTAGCAGCAACTGGCTAGGAGAGGGGACTTGAGGATGCAAACAATTGACAATAGCACAGAGCCTTGGGATCCAAGTTCCATTACCAGGGCAGTTTCTCTTAAATCCGACAGACTTAAGCTCCTCCTGGACCTAGGGCTCAGGGGAACTTGCCTGGAAAACTGGTTGCCTCACCTAGCCCTGTTTCTCCCTACTAGGGCAGCAGTTGAATTTCTGAGAAAGCTGGCCTCCCTTACCAGGGGACGGTATCACTGTCCTGTTGGGGAGGACACGGTCTCCCAAATTCATGGCCTGCTGACCAAAGGCTTCACTGATGAAAAGGTAAGTTGTGGAGCTGCAGAGGTCTGTTGAAATGGCTCAACAAAATGACAACACGTGGTTGTCTCCTTCTAACTAAAAAGATCCCTGCTTCTCTTGTAAACAGTGGTTTCCTGCACTGAGTGGAAGGCTGTGTTTAATTAGCTCTAGGATTATTCTCCTGAGACTTTGGATTTTCAGGTCCCATCCAGTCATTTAATGGATTCAACTTCACACTCATTTCCCCTTTTCAAGGATCCTGCCTTGCCACTATTTGAAGGAGATGATTTAAAGAGACTGGCCCAGGAGATCACCAAGGCCAGAAGCTTCTTCTGGCAAGCCCAGTCCTTCAGGTATCCCCTTCAAGCAGCCCCTCCCACCCACCACTTGGCTCCAGCCCACCCAGACCCTGGACCCCATCAAGACAGGGCCTGCCCTAATCATGGCACCCTTGCTCCAAGGACTCCTGCCCTACTTCTCCCTGCTAGGCCCAGAAGTCTGGGCATCAGAGGAAACATCTTCCTTCATCTTCTGTCCACCAGATCCCAACTCCAGAAGAAAAACAATGTGGAACCAAAGGTTGCTTCTTTATAGAGAAGCATTCTCAGGTAAGGGAGGCAAGAGACTCACCACATGTTGAGTGCCTACTAAGCCAGGCAACATGCTGGGGAGGGATTTCTCCAAACAGATGGGCCATTCTACAAAGAACCATTCCCTGGGTGTATCTTGGCCATGAGGGCAAAGTGACCTGGAAATCTGCAAGCTACAGGTCATCCACTGAAAACACAATTCCAGGCACCAGGACTCCTTGGAAGTTGAGGAAGAAAGACTCAGTTCTTTGTGTATTGGGCCATCCCCACCCTAACTCTCCTGCCCTGTCCCCCAACACACCACACACTTCAGCCACAAGATTGCCACTCACTGGGATGCCCTGCACTGAGCCCCCTACCAGGGATGTCCTTCTTGCCACTTTCTGCCTGGTGACTCCTGCTCATCCTTCAAGGCACAGCTCAAATGATATCACCTCCACTGTGAAGATGTCCCTAGGACCCATCAAGAGCTGGGAGCCTCCAGGCAGAGTTGGGAGCCTCCAGCCTTCATCCCTTAGCATCCTGACCAAACTCTCTCTTCTTGCTCTTAGCACTCCATGTCATGATTCCTTGCTCACTTGTCTAACTCTTCTCCTTGACCATGAGCTCCCTCAGGATGAAGCAGTGTCCTAACCATCTCTGGGTCCCCAGAACCTGTCATGTGGAAGATGCTCAGTAAACATCGACCATCCAGCTTAGTTGTAGGAGTCCAGCTCTGGAAACCAATCTGATGGGATTGTTTCTGTCCTGGTCCTCTCATTCTGGGCTTCCCATCACCCTGGTTCATGGAGGGTTATGCAGATTCACCATTAGCCCACCCCTGCTGCCACCTCAACCAAACGGAGCTGAAGGCTGCTCTGGAGCCCAATCTAGAGTGAATGCTCTGCTCGAGCATGTGGAATCAGGTTGAGTCTCCGGACCCAGCCCCACTGCGTACATATGAAGTGAATGTGCAACGTATTATGTTATCTGGAGTCGTTTTCTAAAACCAAAAAAAAATTGCTTTTATTGCATTAATAGCATTAAAACGACTTTAAAGAAAAACTGTTTGAAGTGATCATTGGTGTGTGTGTGTGTGTGTGTGTATGTGTAGACTTTATTTATTAAAAGACCATATCCAGAAGATATAAAGAATTCCTTCAAATCAATAAGAAAAAGATAAACATCCAGATATTTTAAAATGGACAAAAGACTCAAACAGGCACTTCACAAATGGACAATAGGTATATGAAAATGTGTTCAACAGCCTCAGCCATCAGGGAAGTGCAAATTAAAACCACTACACACCCACCAGAATGGCTAAAAATAAAAAGACTAGCCCAAAAGCAAAGATGTGAAGGTAGGAAGGGACAGGAAAACTGGACAAACGGACACAGAGATCCCAGGGTGTAAAGGGAAAGGAGGGGGAGAGTGCTGACACATTGTGGAGATTGCAACCAATGTCCCAAAACAATTTTTGTATAAATTTTTAATGAAAAATTAATTTGCTCTGTAAACTTTCACCTAAAACACAATAAAATTTAAAAATAAAAAAGACTAACAATATCAAGATATGGAACAATTGGAACTCTCATACATTGCTGGAGAGGGTAGAAATTGGTTCAACCACTTTAGAAAACTTTTTGGCAATTTCTACTAAAATAAAATATACTCCTACTCTAAAAAAAACCCATTGCTGTTGAATCAACTCCGACACATCACGACCCTATAGGACAGAGTAGAACTGCCCCACAGAGTTTCCAAGGAGCGGCTGGTGGATTCAAACTGCCAACCTTTTCGTTAGCAGCTAAGCACTTAACCACTGCACCACCAGGGCCCCACCTACACCTACTCTATGACTCAGCAATTCCTCTCCTAGGTGTTTACCCAAGAGAAATGAGTGCATATGTTCCACAAAAGACTTGTACAAGAATGCTTATAGCAGCTTTGTTCATAAGAGTCAAAAATCAGAAACAACCCAAATGTCATCAATGGTAGAATGGACAAATAGGTTGTGATACATTTGTGCAGTGGAATATTAAGCAGCACAACGATTTAAAAAGAACTACAGCTGCATTCAACAACATACATCAACCTCATGAACAATATTAAGAAGAAGAAGCCAGACACAAAAGAGTACATACTGTGTGCTTCCAATTATATGAAATTGAAGAGCAAGCAAAAGTAATTGTTGGTGATAGAAGTCAGAACTGTGGTTACTTCTGGAGGGGTGTTTACCCATGAGAGCACAAAGGAGACGTCTGGGGTGCTGAAAGTGTTCTATATCTTGATTACATTAATATATATTGTTGTTGTTAGTTGCCATTGAGTCAATTCCGACTCATGGCAACCCCATGTGTGCAGAGTAAACTGTGCTCCATAGGATTTTCAAGGCTGTGACCTTCCATAAGCAGATCGCTAGGCCTGTCTCCTGAGGCACCTCTGGGTGGGTCTGAACTGTCAACCTTCCAGCTAATAGTTGAGTGTTTAATTGTTTGTGCCACTCAAGGACTCCTACATTCATACTTCCATAAGTAAAAGTTACTTAAGTTGTTAAAATAAAACTCAATTTACTAAGGTTTGACAAGCCCCCTAGCTGGTTTGGAGTTGGTCCATACATTTAACAAGTACTGCCTGACACCTGCTTTTACCATGCTCTGTGCTGGGCCCTACAGAAACATGGCCCCTGCCATGGTGGATCTGTCTGGTCATCAGACAACTGTGGACAAGACTGCGATCAGGGCAGTTCAGGGGGCTGTGGGGGAACAGAGGAGGGCACGTAGCCCAGGCTGGGTGCCAAAAAGATGCATCTTTGGCAGTGGTGTAAGTGACTGGAAGCACAGAAAGTTCTTGGACAGCTACCCTTCTGGGTCCCCTCGATAAGCACAGATAAAATGGCCTGTGGTTGTGTTGTAAGCTATGCTTCTCCTAGGAAAACAACACCGACTAACTGGTCCTGGGGAATGTGAGTTCTCTGGACCTGTTTGTGGGAGAGGAAGAGACTGGTCTTTGTGAATGGAAGGATGGACCAGAGACATGACTTAAGGCACAGAACCTGGGTTTGAATTCCAATCTTTCATAGAATGATGATAACAGCTACCATTTTTTGAGCACCAACCGGGCAGGCATGATGCTAAGCATTTTGCATTTATAGTGTTAGCCATAAGCCTCACAACCTCACAACTGTAAAGTACACACCATTTCCAGTTTACTGATGAAGAAACTGAGCCTCATGGTCGCCCACAGACATGCAGCAAGAGAGCAGCAAAGCCAGGATTTGAACCCAGGTCTGACTCACACTCCAAGCTTCCTTTTCATCTCTCTGAACCTGTTTCCCTGTCTCTTAAATTGAGATAAAACTCACAGAGTTGTGAGGATTAAACAAGATACCTTACCATCTGGCACATAGCATGTGCTGGCTAAGATGTTGTTTTTCTCTTTCCCACGCCCACCTCTGTCTACAGAAGATGTTCATATGGGCGAAGCCTTTCCAGACGTTCTCTTCAGACCAAAGTGGCCAGCGCTCGGTGCTTTCTCAGCCCCCTGTAGCGCTAATCTAGAGCTGTGTGAGCTGTTGCATACGGGCCTGCCCCTCTGCTACGACCACTTGAATATGAGTGTCCTGGAGCCAGGGATGGTGTGATCCATCTGGATCCCCAGCACAGAAGACAGGCCAGCACTGAGGAAGCACTCGTTAATCGTGGAATGATGGCATTGGTGATGGATGAACACAGAGGTGGGTGGAAGAACACAAGAAAGGAAGGGTAGATAGATGGGTGGAGGACAGAAAGATATATGGAATGAAATATCCATATGGATGGACGGACGGATGGATGGATGGATGGATGGAAGTTTGGATGAATGGAAGGCTGGATGGATAGAAATTTGGATAAATACGTGGAAGGATGGATGAGAGAAAAGATGGATGGATGAATAGATAGGTGGATGAATGGACGGACGGATAGATGAATAAATAGACAAAATAGATTAGTAAAAAATGGGAAGAAGGATGGATGGACAAAGAGATGGATGGAGGAATAGGTGGGATGATGGATAGATGGATGAGAGGAAAGTGAGAGGGAATAAGGGCAGGCAGAAAGGAAGGTAGGGAGGAAGGAAGCCTGACTGAACAGAGAGGAAGGTGTGGAAGAATGGATGTAAGTGTATGTAGGTGGGTAGAGCAAGAAACAATCGTTTCCTGGAACTTTAAAATGACCGTGCAAACAGGACAGAGCCCCGCACGCAGGGCCTTTAAGTCCTTTCATCTCAACCCTGTGCGCTTGGCCGGCGGGCCCGGCCTTGGAGAACTCGAGGTTCCCGCGCGGGGAGGTGGCGGCGGCCGCGTGCGGGGCGCGGGGGCGGGGCGTCCCGTGTGCCCCGCCCGACCAGCCCCGAGGAGGCGGAGGCCCCGTGGCGCGCGGCTCAGCGCGGAGAAGACGCAGCGTAGGGAGTTCGCAGCACCGTGGGAGCCGGGGCCAGGTGAGAGCAGCCCTGGCGTGGGCCGGGGACGCGGGGACGGGGGAGGACCCGCCCCCGGAGCTGCCCGGGCCTCGCTGCTCTCGGTCCTCAGGGTGGGGGGGTGGGGGGCAGGACGCGCTCCTTCCCGCTCCCCGCGGTCGGTCTATGACGCTCCCCTCCCTTTCACCACTCCTCTCCCTAAGCCCCACTCTGGAGTCCCCACTGACCTGCATTCGGGTTCTGGCCGAGCCATTTACTGTAACTCCATCACAATTACCGAATGTTCTCTGAGCCTCATTTTCCACCTCTAGATGCCTGGGACGGTAGCCCCTACGTCACTGCACCACCAGGAGAATTAAATGTGGCAGTGTTCCTAGTTAGCCTTGCTTTGGCGTACAGCACCCACAGGTCTTAAAACAGCCCAGAGTGGTTTCCTTCATTCAACAGATATTACCTGGCGGCCTTCTTTGTGCCAGGCAGGCGCTGCTCTAGGTGCTCGCGATCCCATCCTGTCGTGAAGGAAGCCCTCAGGAGGCTTGCCTTCTAGTGGTTTGCAGTGGGCTTTGGCATCTGTTCTCGCATGACAACCCTATAGGCAGGCAGTGAAGCTAGGGTTATTTGGGGCCATTTTACAGCTGTGCATACTGAAGTACAGTGAGATTTTAAGATTCTTGCCCAAGGGCACACTCCAGCAAATGGGTCCCCAAGGCCAGGTCTCAGCTTTAGTCACAGAAAGCATCCCTTTAGAGTAGAAAGTCAGGTCTGACCTGTCAGACCCTTCCCCAGAACAGAGTTCTCTGCGCTTGGGGAGGGGAGGGCCTCCCTTGGGGGCTGCACCCTCTCCCATCCCTAGGAGGGAATTATACCCATCGCCCAGTGATGTCTCTTATTTGGGGTGTCACTCCCATTAATCCCACAGGCACCAGTGACACTCCACAGGAGAAAGATGTGGCAGTCTGCTACCGTAAAGATCTACAGCTTTGGAAACCCTGTGGGACAGTTCTACTCTGTCCTATAGGGTCACTATGAGTCGGAACTGACGCAGCAGCAGTGGGCTTTGGGTTTGGTTGATAGCTGACAGGGTCCTTTCCCTTTGACCCTCACCAGCAGCAGCCATGGGGCTCATCAGTCAGGCACTTAGTCACTCACCAAACACCTGTTCTTTTATGCAGACAATATTAGTGAGCACCTACTGTGTGCCTCACAGGACAGAGACTGACCTATCTGTGTATCCACAGGGCCTGGTGCACAGTAGGCCCTCAGAGCATACTTGCTGCTGTTATTAATGGTGATGATGATGATGACGACCTGGCCGCTGGTCCAGCCTTATCCTCAGGTGGGGTCAGAGGGTGGGGGCGGATGGTGGTGACAGCGACCCACATCGTGACTCACTTTTAATCTAGAGTGAGGAGGACAGGATCTTCAGTGGGCTGGGCCCTGAGGCCACAGACCTGACCTCATGGTCCCCGCCACCTGCACTGATGGGCACCTGGAGAACCAGAGATTCTGTGTCAGCACAGGGCAGAGGCAGCTCCTGCTCTCATACACAAGGTCCAGGATGCAGAGCCTGTTTGGATCCCTCTATCCTCCTCTTCCTCCTCCTTCTCCTCCAGGAAGCCCCCTCCACCTCCTCAGTCAGAAAGCAGTCACCTCCCAGTTTGGTGAGGTTCCCTTAGCATGCTTTCATCTATCTTCCTCTGATCCCACATGGGAACTGAGATTTTAAGGAAATGGTAGGAAAGTGGAGCCCTGGTGGTGCTGTGGTTAAGAACTCAGCTGCTAACCAAAAGGTCAGTAGTTCGAATCCACCAGCCGCTCCTTGGAAACCCTATGGGGCAGTTCTACTCTGTCCTGTAGGGCTGCTGTGAGTCGGAATCGACTCGATGGCAACGGGTTTGGTTTTGGTTTGGTAGGAAGGTCAGAAATTCTTGGTGTGAGTCTCAGCCATGCACTGTGACTTTGGGCCTCAGTTTCCCCAGCTGTAAAATCCAGGGCTTGGTTGTCTTGTCTCTGGCTCTGACACTCTCTGAGGGAGACCATACAGCTCAGAACTAAAGCAGCCATCTTGGAAGTTCTCCAGATTCTGAAAGGGACAGGTTCACTGGGAACTTGGAGGGTCTCTAATTCCTACCTGGAGTTTCCCTCAGCCCCTGGGGATCTGATAATCCACGTGACTTGAGACCGCTCTAGAACGTTTTTTCTTCTATTTTGCCTCACAGGTGGACAGATCCAGGGCCTGCATGGAGGAGTAGAGGATGAAGCCCAACCCCAGAGGCTCCTCCCCAGAGGCCTGCAAAGCCACTGACTGGGGCACTAAGAGCTGCCCTGTCTGCCAGGCCTGGGGTGGGGTCTCAGGCCCAGGGTCTGATTTAGGATCTGGGTCAGGACCCAGAGTCGGGACTGGTACAGTGCCAGGTTCTGAGTCGGGGCCTCGTGTTGCTCCAGGGCCTGGGCTGGGACCTGGTATAGTACCGGGGTCTGGGTCAGGGCCTGGTGCAGTTCTACAGCCTGGACCAGGGCCTGGTTTGGTGCCGGAGTCTGGGTCAGGGCCTGGTACTGTTCCAGGGCCTAGGCCTGGACCTGGTGTTGTCCCAGGGTCTGGGCTGGGGCCTGGTGTAGTGCCGGGGCCTGGGCCAGGGCCTGGTACTATGCCAGGGCGTAGGTCTGGACCTGGTGTTGTCCCAGGGTCTGGGCCGGGGCCTAGTGTAGTGCCGGGGCCTGGGCCTGGTTCTGGTACTGTGCCAGGGCCTAGGCCTGGACCTGGTGTTGTCCCATGGTCTGGGCTGGGGCCTGGTGTAGTGCCAGGTCCGGGTCCTGGGTGGGTGCCTGGTGCTGTTGCCATTGCAGGACCTGGGCCAGGGCCTGGTACTGTGCCAGGGCCTAGGTCTGGACCTGGTGTTGTCCCAGGATCTGGGCCGGGGCCTGGTGTAGTGCCAGGGCCTGGGCCAGAACCTGGTGCTCTCCCAGGGCCTGGGCTGGGACCTCGTACTATTCTAGCACCTGGGCCAGGGACTGGTATGGTTCCGGGGGCAGTGCTGGGTCTGGGGCCTGGACCAGGAGCTGGGTTGGTACCTGGGCCAGGAACTGTACCATCACCTGGGCCGGGCCCAGGGTCAGGGACTGGGCCCAAACAGGAGTCCAGGACTGGGCCCAAACTCAATGAGCCAATGACAGCCCCAGCACCAGCGCCGCAGCAGAAGACTCAGGCCAAACCCACGCAGGCTTCTAGGCAGAAGGTTCTGGTGACAGGAGGAGGAGGCTACCTGGGCTTTAGCCTGGGTTCCAGCCTGGCCAAGAGCGGTGCCTCTGTCGTCCTGCTCGACCTCCGCCGACCCCAGTGGGAGCTTGCTCCAGGGACTGAATTCATCCAGGTGCAGGGACAAGGGACTTGGGGGACTGGTGGGGGCACCCAGGCTGGTGGGGAAGGAGGAAAGTGTCTGAGGTCCAACCAGTAGTGTGGGTTTAAGAGCATAGGCTCTGGAGTCGGACTGCTGGGCTGAGTCCAGCTCCTGCACTTCCCAGCTGTGTAGCTGTGGCCACAGTCTCCACATCTGGGAGCCCCAGTGACCTCACCCATAGAAAGGGGATGATAATAACAATAAGAGAACAGTAATAATAATCTCCACAAGGGTCTCATGGGGAGTCGATGAGATAGTGCACGTAAAACACCTAGCACGGCCCTGTGACGGAGAAAGCTTGATAACTGGTGGACAGTGATGATGATGACGACACCATATAGATTCCTATAGTAATTCCCGCCCACCAGCCTCTCCTGACCCTATGGATGCTTAGCCTGGGAGAGGACAGGGGGCCAGCTCTAGGACCTGGCTAAATGCAGAGTTGGTATCTCTGCCACGGACTTGAACCTCCTGCCCTATCTCTTCCTTGTCTGTTGCAGGCTGACATCCGAAACGAAGAAGCCCTCTACCGCGTGTTCAAGGGGGTGGACTGTGTCTTCCACGTAGCCTCCTATGGAATGTCCGGTGCTGAGAAGGTAAGCTCCTCACATACGATACCTGGAGCTAGACAGAGTGGGGTTCAGATCCTGGCTCTGTCCCTCACATCCCTATTTTTGTTATTACTCTTCACCTACTTGGGAAGGATTTCAGCTACTCCCAGCTTGCATTTTGTGTCCTTGAGACCAAATACCAGTTCTACCACTTTCCAGCTGTGTGACCTAGGGCAAGTTAACGTGACCTCTCTGACCCTCAGTTTCCTCATCTGTAAAGCGAGGACACTATTAATACTTGTCTTACAACCTTTTCAAAGGGCAGTGTGACTGTCTTTCAAATGTTTAAACATACTCATACCCTTTGACCAGACATTGCATTTGTTTGTACATTTTCAGCATTTTTTTTTTTTACTGAAAGAAAAATAAAAGATTTTATTTCACTTTCACTTATTCCTCCTTTAATGCTCCTTATTTTCTTTATGTAAATCTGCTTCTCTTCTTTGCTCTATATCATTGTCTTTCTCTCTGGAGAACTACTTTTAACATTTCTTTCTTTCTTTTTTTTAAATAGTATTTTATTGTGCTTTCCATGAAGGTTTACACAGCAGTTTAGATTCACACTAACGATTTCTACACAAATTGTTCAGCAACGTTAGTTACATTCTTCACAGTGAACATTCTCATTATTTTCATTCTGGCTGTTCCTGCAACATTGTTTTTAGTAGCAAAATGCAGGAAATAACCTAAATGCCCATCAGCTGGGGATTATTTAAATGACTTGTGCTGTATCCATGTAATGAAATTCTACGCAGTAGTTCAGAAGAACGAGGTAACTCAATATGAGCTGATACAGAGCAATTTCCAAGGTGCAGAACAGTATTTGGTGTCCTCCTGTTTGTTTAAAAAAGAGCTCAGGTGAACGTTTCTTGATATACTCACACCTGCTTACGTGCTGATGTTAATAAGCGGTGATGATCTTTCAAAGGAAACAATGCATTGGTGACGGTGGCTGCCTCCGGGGAGGGAGGAGGAAGACTTGGGACCAGGAATGGGAGGGAAACTTGCTTTTCACTGTCTACTCTTTTTACGTTTGAGATATTTTTAACCTAATGACTGTATTACCCATTAAACAAAAACAACTGCAACAAGAACAAATATGGTTTAAAGATAAATTCACCTCATAGAGAGCTGTCGTGAGCATTAAATGAGACAGGGACTTCAAGGCTCGGCCCAGCCCCTGGCACGCAGGAAGCACTGCCGAAGACCAGTTGTTTTTGGTTTTCATACCCCAGCCTCCTCACTAATGCCTGGACAGTATTACTGTGCCATCTTACAGATAAGGAAACTGAGACTTGGAGCATGGGTCAGGCATGGTACCATGACCTTCCCATGTGTCTTGTTTAATCCTGCCTACCAGCCAAGGTTTGCCCTCGCTTTACAGGTGAGGGAGCTGAGGGCCTGACGGGGACGGTAATCTCCCCTGGTCATCCAGGGAGAGGGTGGCAGAGATGGACACCAGAGCCCCAGGCTCGCACGCTGCCCCGTGGGCCTCTGAGCTGGACATTTAGAACCCGCCATCCTGCCCAGACCCCACGCCCAGCCTTATGGCCTCGGCAGCAAGGCATGAGGCTCCACCACGACTTTCCCACCTCCGTCTTCTCTTTTAGCTGCAAAAAGAGCAGATTGAGTCTATAAATGTTGGAGGCACCAAACTAGTGATTGATGGTAGGCGCTCAGAGCTGAGGTGTGGCCTGCTGTGTGTTTCCTCCTTCTCTCCCCTCTCCTACCACAGGCCCAGCTCCAGGGGCAGGGTCGGAGCTAGAGGTGGGACCCTTTCTCCCATGCCTACTACCCTAGGGGAGGGCCTTTGGGCCAGCACATCCTTCCCTAACCAAAGACCTGCCCAGGGCCCTGCAGGGGGCCGGTCAGCATAGCCATGGCCTGGCTGGGAACGTGGGGAGCCGAGTTTGTACTCAGGGCTTAGGGGTTTGGGAGTAAGAACACTTGCTGAAGGGCCATGTCTAAGCTCTCTGGGCTCGTCCTGCCTTGTCCTGCATTCTGTTTTTCTCTCTGATTCTAGAGTGTCTTTCTTCTCTGTCCCCATGGAGTGAGACTTTCTTCTGACCTGTCCTTGTCTTGGCAAGATAGCTCAGGGGCCACAGCCGCACTTAGAAGGAAGAGTGAGCAGGCCTGGTCCCCAGTGGCTCAAGGAGCAGGGACCTGACCCAAACCCTAAGTTAAGGCGAGGAGGCCCTTCCCTCCTGGGCAGCTCTGGATTCTGTGGGGTCCCAAGGACTGGTATTATGTTGGAGACTGGATGGAGATAGGTGGATTTGCCAGGGGAGGCCCCTCAGCTGATTGCCTGCTCACTCTCGGCCCTGTGTGTGTTTGCCTGTGTGTGTGGTGCTGTGTGTGCCTGTTGCTGCAGTCTGCGTCCGCCGGCGCGTTCCGAGGCTTGTCTACACCAGCACCGTCAATGTTGCATTTGGCGGGAAGCCCATCGAGCAGGGTGATGAGGACTCCGTGCCATATTTCCCGCTGGAGAAGGTACTAGCTTCCAGGAGAGGTGGGTGGGGCCAACCCAAAGCTGAAAGGGTAGGGATGGGTGAAACCAAGGGAGGTGGAGTCAGCCTCACAACTCAGGGTGAGTTCTAGGAGAAAGGGTCCCCCAACACTGGGTGGCAAGAGCCCTCTCCTGTTTTAGCTAGTGTGCCAGCAGGGACTTTGGAATCAAACAGACCCGGCTTTGACCCTTAGCCAGGTTACTTTCTAACTGTGACTCTGAGCAGATCACTTCACCACTCTGAACCTCTGTTTCTTCATCTGGGCATGATAACAACATCTCACTGGGGTTGTGGAGAGCAGGAAATGAAATAATGTATGTGAAAGTACCATGTGAACACTAAGGACTACAGATCAATAATTTATCCAACACATGTCCAGCATCACCACTGCCAGGCAGGCGTTTGGGGCTGGAAAGACCCTCCCTAAGTCAGAGTCCCGGTCATTATCACTCTTCTGAAGCCAGTGCTCCTCTGCTTCCATGGCTCTGAAGGAGACACACTTTCTTCCTACCCAGGGGGAGAGGAGGGCTCTAGGGCTCAGGCTTGGCAGTATCCCAGTGGAAGTCCCCAGCATCCAACCTTGATGGTGTGCTCTGAAGCAAAGGTGCAGTCTGGGGCCAGGCCAGACCAGGCAGTGACCCCTCTGCTGCGGCTCTGTTCCCCCGTCCACCTTACAGCACATGGACCACTATTCCCGAACCAAAGCCATCGCCGACCAGTTGACCCTGATGGCCAATGGAACACCTCTTCCAGGTGAGTATTATGGGGCCCTGTTCCTACCAAATCCATATGCGTCTCCTGAAATAGATAAGTGACTCTAGCTTGTAGCTGATCTGTTCTGAAACCCACCTTTCCCCACAAGGAGAGCTCCCCAGGGCCTGGGTCATTCGTCTTTCAACGAATTCTCAGCCCCTGCTATGTGCCAGCCACCCTGCCAGGAATAAAAAGCCAAAAAAGAACAAACCTGTTGCCATTGAGTCAATTCCAACTCATAGTGACCCTATAGCACAGAGAAGAACTGCTCCATAGGGTTTCCAAGGAAAGGCTGGTGGATTCGAACTGCCAACCTTTTGGTTAGCAGCCGTAGCTCTTAACCTCTGCACCACCAGGGCTCCAACCAGGGATACAACCCGGAAGAAGTCAGTCCCAGTCTCTGTCCTCACACTGCTTGTAGCCTGGTGGGGAAGACACAGACCAGGCATGACGGTGTGATTGGGGAACACGGGGCCCCGGCCTGGGTGGCCTGGGAAGGCAGGCTGAGGCCTGAAGAATGGAAAGCTGTTGTCCATTGTAGGTGGAGGAAAGGAGGAAGGGAAAGGGTTCGTGGCAGCTGGCACTGCATGTGCAAAGGCCCCGGGGCAGCAGGGTGAGTGATCCAGTGTCAGAGGAGGGAGCACAGGGGAGCCTGGGGCCAGGTCACGAAGAGCCTTGTGAACGAAGCTGAGGGGTTTCAGCTTTATCAGGAGTCATTGAAGGTTGACTTTAAACAGGAGACTGACACGGGCAGCTGTGCGTTTTAAAAAGACCCTCTGGCCACCATGCAGGGGATGGATCGGAGGGGTAAGAGGAGAGGCAGGGGACCAGGCAGGAGACGGCCATCCCCCTGGACTGTTGGTGGCAGTGGGGATAGAAGGAGGGGATGGATTCAAGAGCCATTTTTGAGGCTCAGTTGACTGGAGTTGGGGGGCAAGTCTGGCGGGGACCTGTCTCAGCATTCATGCGTGAGAGGACGAGAGTGTAGGTGTTGCCAGCAGCATCGCCGACCATGTCTGGTGGCACAGGAGGCGCTGGAAGGAGTGGGAGCCCCTTTGCCGACTGAGGTAACTATAGCTCTCACTCCTCACCCGCATCTCCTCAGCTTTCCTCACAGCCCTGTGGGAGGTGGGAGGGAGAACAGCCACTGCAACGCCCATACCACAGGTGAGAGACTGAGGCTCAGAGCTGGAACCCAAGTCTAGCTCTCTTTTTCTGCCACACAGGAGTGAATCCAGTTTTAGGTGCTTTCTTTGTTTATGAATTATGAATATGGAATAAGGTACTTCGGGAGGGCCCTTGCAAGTGAGGTGCCCTAAACCTTCACCTTTGTTAACTTCCCAGAAAAATCTCGACTGCCTTACTGCACTGCCTCTTCTGGTTATAGAGAAGTAACGCAGCGAAACCTGTGAGAGCTGGAATTCCACAACACTGCCTTGTTTTTCTGGGTCTCCCAAGTTTTCTGCCTTTGACAGGGTGCAGTGTTACCACTTCTCTATCACTTGTTGTAGTGGAAAATATTTGAGTTTTTCTTCTCTGACAGATTCAGCCCCACACAGGTTCCGGCTTTCGTCCCCATTTATCACACCAGGCCCTCTTTTTACATGCGAAGTCTCAGTAACTCCTCACAACATCCCTGAGGTAGGACCCTTAGGTGTCCCTAGCTTTCCAAACTCAGGAACTGAACAGATTCAGGTAAATTCTTTGCTATCCAAATCATCACTGCTCACTTTCCAAAATTCAGAAACAGAAAAGAATCAGATAATTTGGTTTCACTCACCATCTAAACCCAGGAACCAAACGGACTGATTTGGAGAGCGAGGGATACTTGAAATTATAACCCCCAATTTATAGGTGAGAAAACTGAGGCCCAGAGTGGTTAACTGATTTAGCTCAGGGTTACACAGCTACTAGGTGGTGGAGGTGGGATTTGAACCCCAGGGGGCCTAACACCAGGGTTAGGGCTTAATCACTGTGCTACACTGCAGCCACAGCTGAGCAGAGCCCGAGCATGGGCTCTGTTCCTGAAATCCTCTCCCCCATCACCCTGGGCCTGTCCCCTGATCCCAGTGGGAAGATCCAGCTGGATTTTCCCAGGAGTTTGACCTTGCGTAGTTGAATTTGACCTTGTACAGCTGAATTGTCTTCTCATCCCAGGGCCTCCCCAGGCCACACCGGCAGTCTGCCTGCCAGACACCCAATCCTCCAGCTGAGAATTGTTTATACGAGCATCTCCAGCTTTCCATGGTCAAGAGTCATGGATACCCTTGGCCCGGCCCCTCTGTGACATGGCTGCCCAGTGCCCCACCGGCGAGCGTCTGCAACCTGACCCATCCCCACCCCACACACACACACCAGGTGACCCAGAGTTTAAAACTAGCTGCAGGCTGCTTACAGAAAAGCTCACTTGATACCTGCCTGCCCAGGAGTTCAACCCTGGTCACGCCAGGTGATTTTCACTCCCTGTTACCTAAGCTGGTCCCTAAAGCTTTCCCTCTAACTCTGTAGCAGAGTCCTGAGAGGTGCAGATCCCACCTCAGTGTGAACGTGCTGTGTCACTGCTGTCACTGTGTGGATTAGCTTCCTGTAGCCGCCGTTAACAAATGACCACAATCTTGGTGACCTAAAACAACAGAAATATATTCTCTCACAGTTCTGGAGGCTAGAGGTCAAAAATCAAGGTGTTGGCAGGGTCTCACTGCCTCCAAAGGCTCTAGGAGAGGATCCTTCCTTGCCCCTTCCAGTTTCGGTGGCCCCAGGCCTTTCTTGGCTTGTGGCTGTGTCACTTCAGTGTCTGCCTCCGTCTTCCATGGCCTTCTCTTCTCCATCTGCCTCTGCTCTGTGTGTCTCTTGTAAGGACACTTGTCATTGGATTTCGGACTCACTGGGATACCGAGAATGATCTCATCTCAAGATCCCTAACTTAATTATATCTGCAAAGACTCTTTTTCCAAGTAAGGTCACATTCTCAGGTTCCAGGGCATGGACATATCTTTTTGGGGCAACCATTCAACCCACTACCCTGGGCCTCACTATAAAGTGAGGGTGTTGGAGAATGCAGCAGACAGGGTGTTTGGTTATAACCAGGAGACACTGGCCCTGGCTAATTTAAGGGGGAAAGGGAGCTTATGTTGGAAGGATGCAGGATAGTTCCCAGAAAGATGATCACCAAGGCTTGGAAAGGACAGGGTGTGGGGCAGCTATGGGAACACAGGGGCAAGAGCTGACATTCAGTCTCTTCAGGGTGAACCCACTCCTAGGACTGTAGGTCCTGGCGTCAGTCATATAGAGTCCCATTCCTGGGTGAGAACATCTCGTTGGTCCAGCTTGGGCCCCATGGCCATCACTTGCCCCCAAGACCTCGTGCAGAGGGTGGGGAGTTTCCCAAAGGAGGGTGGGCTGCTGGTCCCAGAAGATGGTCTACAATGGGCTTCCCTAACTGGGGTGCAGCCCTTTGGGGAACTTCAGCCCAGGAGAGTGGAACGTCTTCCTGGAGACTCCATTTCATTTGAGGAATTGGCGTTGGGGGGAACCAGTTAATTTATAAACTGAGTAATTTTAAACCTTAAAAAAAATCTTCATATAAACACAAGTGGGTTATGCAGGAAAATCAAAAATTGTATAGGCATTCTTAAGAAAAGACTTAAAAGAAATGTGTTCGTGGCAGCCCCTTTGGGCTGTACCCCTAGACTTCCCCAGGGGAGGCATGTTCACCCATTTTCACCAGAGTTTGGGAAACCCAGGACACCCCTGGGATTCAGCAGTGAGAGTTTAGGGAGCAAATCCCCCGGCTCTTGTGCTGATGGTGTCAGTCTTTTCCTTTTTGATTGGAGACTGTGGCAACTACCACCACTTACAAAGCACCCATTTTACAGGTGAGGAAACCAAGGCTGAGTGGTCTGAAAGACAGGGCCTACTTGTTCATATTGTACTTAGAGAAGCAGGAGTATTAGTGGAAAGGGCCTGGGCTTTGATTCCCTATCTGAGCACCACACTGAACTGTGTGACCTTGGGGAAGTCATGTTCCTTCTCTGAGCCTTGCTTTTTTCATCTGTAAAACAGGGATAACAGCAGCTGCCACTTCATAGAGTTGCCTTGGGGAAAAAAATTCCCAGCTTACCAGAACACAATAAGACCTCCCTGAGAGTGGTCATAATCACTATCTAATGGATGACCAGGAACAGAAAGAGCTAGAGCTGTTGGCCTGAAGGAGTGTGGATCTGTAAAATGGCAGGAGAGTTAAAGGAGATCATGTCGGTCAAGTGCTGGGTAAACTCACGGGCTGTGCAGATACTTGCATCTAGGTCTTACCTTAACCACTGGCCTGTGAGCATCATGAGGGTGGGGACCATTTCTTGGCCATCCTTGGATTCTTCACAGCATCCATCCCAGGGCCCAGGAGAGGGGAACTTGAATAGTGTTTGTTGACTAACAGATTGACTGAGAGAGTAACTAACTGAATGAGGAAACCCCAAGGGCATGTCTTCCCCTCTAACCTGTCCAGGTAAGGACAGGAGATGTGGACACCCCTTCTCTGCCTCTCCCTGCTGGTCTGTCCCTCTCCAGGCCCCTGACCACCCTCCTCTGTGTCCTAGGAGGAGGCACTCTGCGGACATGCGTGCTACGGCCCCCAGGCATCTATGGCCCCGAAGAGCAGAGACACCTGCCCCGTGTGGCGGTATGTTGCCTGGCCTACTTGGACCCCGACGCAGAGGACAAGCCAGGCTGCTGTGTGCATGCTGTTGGGGCCCTCCCAGCCCACAGATCACTGTATCAGTTGCTGGGACCGTCTGTTCTGGGAGATGCCCCCTGCCCACCAGTCCCTGATCCCCCCACGCCCACCAGCATATTCCCTAGGCCAGGCCTAAGGCTTGGCCAAGCAGGCCAGAGCGCTCACTGTGTGCCAGCCAGGTTAGGCCCAGGTGGGGAGACATGGAACTGTGACCCCAAAGAGACAGGGGAGCCTGTTTTTCCCACTCAAATGTGGGCTAAGGGTGGATGGTTCATCCCATGCTGCCAGCTCAAGGGTCTCCATGCAGAAAACCCATTTAGAGAAAGCTGGGTGCCAGGAATACAGCTAGGAGGTCATCAAATGTCCATAGCCTGATTGGGGGACAGACACCATAATCACAGACTCAGTGTGGTAAAGGCTCTGTAGAGGGAAGCATGAGAGGATGGCAGCACAGCAGAGAGGGCTTGGTGGGGGAGGTCCAGGAGGGCTTCCTGAAGGAGGTGATCCTTGTGTTGAAAGAGAAGGAATTAACCAAGGGAATGAGTTGTAGTGAGGAGGTAATCCAAACAGAGGAGACAGCTTAGGCAAAAACCTAGAAATGAGGAAGATCATGGTTTAAGAGGCAGCAAGTCCCTGTGGCTGGATCTAGGAGTGTAGCGTTGTAGGCAAGGGTGGGTTACCCATTAAGCAAGGTAAGCACGGGCTTACTTGTGCTTACTTATTAACCTGTAGTCAGCAGTTTCACATGTTTTTCAGATGTAGTGAAAAAGATGTTAAATCATTGACTACAGATTAGTAAGTAAGCACAAGTAAGCCCATGCTTACCTCGCTTACTGGGTAATCCATCCCTGTCAGGGATTATAACTTTCAAAAGAGGCATTGATTGTGTAGGAAGGTGCTGTGGGGTTGGGAGACAGATGCCAGCCACATCCAGAAGCAGAATTTTTGATGTGGTGGAAAATACAAAATTATTCACTACAGATGACGTGGTAAACAAGGTAAGCACTGTGCTTACCTTGCCTATTGGATAATCCGCCCTGGTTGTAGGGGTGGGGGAACAGGGGTTGTAGCAATGGGGAGCCATGGAAAGTTACTAGGGGAGTGACACTCCGTCTGAAGTTTCCAAACATTGCTGGGGCTTTATGTCTTCTTCTTCTTTTTTTTTTAAGCTAACTGGGTACACAGGGATGTGAGGTGAACCCCAGTGACTCTCTCCCCTATTCATGTTTGTATATACCAAAAAACCCATTGCCATTGAGTCCAACTCATTCATAGCGACCCTCTAGGACAGAGCAGAACTGCCCCATAGGGTTTCCTAGGCTGTAATCTTTACAGAAGGCAGCTGCTGCATCTTTCTCCCGCGGAGCAACTGGTGGGTTCAAACCACCAACCTTCAGTTAGCAGCCGAGCTCTTAACCACTGCGCCACCAGGGCTCTTTCTTTGTTTATACATTCAATAAGTATTTACTGAGTTCCTGCTATGTGCCCAGCATTGTTATAGATTTGAGGATAGATCTGTGAGCAAAACAGACAATCCCTGCCTGTGTGGAGCTTAGGTTCTCACATGGAAAATGAAAATAAACATGATAGATGGTAAGGTTTGTTCCAAGGTGCCAGGTGCTATGGAGAAAAGGAAAAGTGGAGTCGGGTGAGGGAATTGGGGGTGCCAGGTGAGGGCACTAAGGAAGGGAGTCAGGGAGCCTCACTGAGAAGGTGATTTGAGCATCAGTGTGAAGGAGACAATGGAGTGCATATCACAGGGCATTTGGAGGAAGAACCAAGAGGAGAAAGGCAGAGGGAACAGCTAGTCCAAAGCCTTGAGGTGAGAACATGCCAGCATGTTCTGGAAAAAGCAAAGAGGCTCATGTCACTGTAGCAGAGTGGGGGGATAGTAGGAGATGACGTCAGAGAGTAACTGGGGCCAGACCAGGAAGGGCCTAGTCGGCCATTGCCAGGACTTTGGCTCTCAGCGCGGCAGGATGGGAGCCCCGGAAGGTTCTGAGCGGAGAGACATGATCTGATTTAGGATTCAAGAGTGTCTCTGGCTGTGGTGTCCAGAGCAGACAGCAGGGGGCGAGGGTGGAAGCAAGGGACCAGTTAGGAGGCTATTACCAGACCCAGGTGAGAGAAGAGGTGGCAGTGAGGGTGGGGAGAAGTGGTCAGATTCTGGATAGATTTCAGAGGTGAACCAACAGGATTCGCCGGTGGGTTGGATGTAGAGCGTGAGAAGGGAAAGTCAAAGGTGGCCCCGAGGTTTTTGGCCTGAGCAGTGGCGTGCCATCACCCGAGAGCAGGAAGACGTGGGGGGAGCGGCTTGGGAGAGATCAGGCGTTCACTTTCGGACATGGTAGCTGAGGTGTGTGTTAGGCAACCCGATGGAGATGCCGGGAAAGCATTAGATACCTGACTCTGGAGCTTGGGAGGAGAGGGGTCTGCCGCTTAGATAGAAATTTGAGAGCCATTAGCATATAGATGGAATTTAAGCCACTCCAGGCTTGGGCCTGTGTTTATCACCCCCTCCCTCCTCCAGAACCACATCAAGAAGAGGCTGTTCATGTTCCGATTTGGGGACTGCAGGGCGCGGATGAACTGGGTCCATGTGCACAACCTGGTGCAGGCACACGTGCTGGCGGCGGAGGCCCTCACCGCGGCCAAGGGCTTCGTGGCGGTGAGTCTCCTGCAATGCTGGCCCCACCCAGGGGCTGCAGCCTGGGGCCCCATCCCGTCCTGTCCCTCAGGATTCTTGGCTCGTGCACAAAAATTCTCCCCAAGTCCTGTACTTAAGATGGCTGTCTGGACTGTTGGTCCAGGGAAGCTGGGGTCGGGGTGGGGGAGCGCTGTTGAGCATCATTAGCTTGTCATGTGACCTTGAGGGAGGTGTTGTTGATCCCATAATAATGGTCACCAAATGCCAAGCATTGTGCATATATGATCTTAGTTAATCTTCTCAACAGCCCAAGGGGGAGATTCCATTACTATCTTCCGGTTTGTCAGATGAAGAAACTGAGGTTCAGAGAGTTATGTGCCACAATCTAGGTGTGGTGGCACCAGAATTCAAAGGAAATTACCCAGATCCTCCCAGCTGTGGGATCCAAACCAGGCCTGTCTGCCCTCCTTGATGGCTGCTCAGGAGAAGTGGGGAGTGGGAGCAGCTGCCGGAACCATGTGAACGGGTGGGGGCCAGGCTCTTGGGCGAGTGCCTGACTGTCTCCTCCCATGTTCCCCTCAGAGCGGGCAGGCATACTACATCAACGACGGAGAGAGCGTCAACCTCTTCGAGTGGATGGCTCCGCTGGTAGGTGCACAGCAGCCTGCCCCCACCCTAAGTGAAAATCCAGGGATCCTCTAGTCTCTCCCTGCCATCCTTTCCTACTTCCGAAAACTTCGTTAGGAATATTTGAATGTATGGCTTCTCTCTAAAGACCAGCTCTGGCCATGGGTGCCACTGGAGCTGGCTGGAGCTTGGTGGCAGCTGCCCCTTTGGGGGAGCATGCATTCCGCATTTGCTGTAGCTCACACACTGCCTGATGCCCCCCAATTTATGTTGATTCTACCAGTTACCAGTTGCCATCAAGTGGACTCCAACTTATGGCAACCCCCTGTGTGTCAGTAGAATTGTGTTCCATAGAGTTTTCTATAGCTGATTTTTCAGAAGTAGATTGCCAGGCCTTTCTTCCAATGTGCCTCTGGGTGAACTCAAACCTCCAAACTTTCAGTTAGCAGCTGAGCACGTTAAACGTTTGCACCACCCAGGGATGACACGTTGACTTACGTTGTTGTTGTTGTGTGCCGTCAAGTTGATTCTGACTTGTAGCAACCCTACAGAACGGAGTAGAACTGCCCCACAGGGTTTCCTAGGCTGTAATCTTTTTTTTTTTCTTAAATTTTATTTATTTTGTTATTGTTGTTGAGAATATACATAGCAAAACATACACCAATTCAACAGTTTCTACATATACAATTTAGTGACTGATGACATTCTTCAAGTTATACAACCATTTTCACCCTCCTTTTCTGAGTTGTTCCTCCCTCATTAACATAAATTCACTGCCCCACAAGGTTCCTGTCTTTCTAGTTGCTGTTGTCAATTTGATCTCAAATAGAAAGTTCTTAAAAGAGCATAGTGCGCAGGGCAGACTTTTGTTACTAGTTAAGCTAAACTGTTCAGTTTTAAGATGACTTGAGAGGATATTTTTGGTTTATGGTTTAAAGATTGTCTCGGCAGTAGTTTCAGGGGTTCATGCACCCTCCATGGCTCCAGAAAGTCTGGAGTCCCTGAGAATTTGAGATTATGTTCTGCATTTTCCCCCTTTTGATCAGGATTCTTCTATGGAATCTTTGATCAAAATGTTCAGTAATGGTAGCCGGGCACCATCCAGCTCTTCTGGTCTCATGGCAAAGAAGGCAGTTGTTCATGGAGGTGATTAGCCACATATTCCATATCCTCCTCCTATTCCTGACTCTCCTTCTTTCTCTGTTGCTCCGGGTAAGTAGAGATCAATTGTGCCTTGGATGGCCGCTTGCAGGCTTTTAAGACCCCAGGCACTACGCACTAGGCTGTGATCTTTAATCTTTCCTTCCATGCAGCAGCTGGTAGGTTTGAAGCACTGACCTTTCAATTAGCAGCTGAATGCTTAACTCCTGCGCCACCAGGGCACCTTGTTGAGTTACAGCCCTCTGGAATTTTTGTTTGTGACCCGCCATACTATGTGTGGAGGCTCTGAAAGAGGAATGGGGAAGGTAAACCACAGCACAAAGGGAGGTGTTTGTTCCTGGGACCTCCTATACTCAGCTCTTTCGAGTACTCTGGCCTCCTCTCCCAGCAGTCCACTGACTCCTTCTCCAGACCAGACTTGCCTGGAAGGGGTAGACCAGGAAAAAACCCTGGGCTGAGGGTTACATCCTTATGGCATTCATGCCCAACACATCAGTGCCTCAGAGTTGCCCTCCAAACCGTGGCAAGAAGCCAAGCCCAGAAAGCAGTTGCCTTTTCTTCCCAGCTCTTATGGCCCCAAAGAGTTTTTTTTTTTTTTTTAATAGCAGCTTTGTTGAGATATAATTCACATACCATACAATTCAATGGTTTTTAGTATATTCAGAGTTGTATAAGCATCACCACAGTCAATTTTAGAACATTTTCATCACTCTTAAAAAAAAAAAACTTTTTCCAAACAACTCCCCTGTTCCTCCTACCCTTCCCCCTAGCCCTAGGCAACCACTAATCTACTTTCTTTATATATAGACTTGCCTCTTCTGGACATTTCATATAAATGGAAACATACAATATGTGGCTTTCTGTGACTGGCTTCTTAGCATTGTGTTTGAAAGGTTCACCCATGTTTTAGCATGTGTCGAGACTTCATTCCTTTTTATCACCAAAAAACATTTCATTCTGTGGCTTTACCACATTTTGTTTATCCATTCACAAGTTCACAGACATTTGGGTTGTTTGTACTTTTTGACTATTATGAATAATGCTGCTATGAACATTTTTGTACAAGTTTTTGTGGGGACATACGTTTTTCATTTCTCTTACGTATATCTCTAGGAGTAGAATTCTGAATCACATGGTAATTCTATATGTAACTCTTTGGGAAACCACCAAACTGTTTCCAAAGCAGCTGCACCATCTTACATTCCCACCAGAAGTGTATAAGGATTCCAGTTGGTCCACATCCTTGCCAACACTTACTGTTTTCTCTCTTTTTGACCCAGAGAGGTTTTATACAAGTATATTAGTTTCCTGTGGCTGCTGTAACAAATAACCACAAACTTGGTGGATTAAAACAGCAGAGAGTTCTGGGGGTCAGAAGTCAGAAATGAAGGTGTTGGCAAAGGTGTCCCCAAAGGCTCTAGGGGCAGTCTGTTCCTTGCCTCTGTCAGTTTCTGGTGGCTCCAGGTGTTTCTTGGCTTGTGGCTGCATCACTACAGCCTCTGCCTCCATCTTCACATGGCCTTCTCCTCTTCTCTCTCCCCTGTGTGTCTCTTATAAGGCCACTTGTCACTGGATTTAGGGCCTTCTGGGATAATCCAGGAGCCCTGGGGGCACAGCAGTTAAAGCGCTCAGCTGCTGAAAGGTCAGTGGTTGGAACCGACCAGCTGCTTCACAGGGGAAAGGTGTAGCAGTCTGCTTCCATAAAGATTACAGCCTTGGAAACCTCATGGGACAGTTCTACTCTATCCTATCGGGTCACCATGAGTTGGAATTGACTCTAGGGCATTGGGTTTGGTTTGCATGGTTTGGGATAATCCAGGGTGATCTTATCTCAAGATCCTTAATTACCTCTGCAAAACCCCTTTTTCCAAATAAGGTCACATTCACAGGTTCTGGGGGTTAGGATGGACACAGACATACCTTTTGGGAGGCCACCATTCAACCCACTACAACAAGTGAAGACCTCAGTTCATCCTGTGTCAACCCATATCTTCGTGCATCCATCTTCTACCACCCTCCACACATAGGCTTTTTTTTTTTCCTTTAACAGCAGAAAAGTCAATTCTAGAAAAATAAGATTCTGCATAAATACCTTGGAGTGTCTTTGGGTATTAAAAAATAATAATAATAAACCATTGCTGTCAAGTTAATTCTGACTCATAGCGACCCTACAGGACAGGACAGAACTGCTCCATGGGGTTTCCAAGGCTGTAAATATTTACGGAAGGAGACTGCCACGTCTTTCTCCCGTGGAACGGCCGGTCGGTTCGAATTGCTGACCTGTTGGTTAGCAGCCAAGCGCTTAACCACTGCGCCACCAAGACTCCTTCTTTGGGTATTAAAAAACAAAACCGTTGCTGTTGAGTCAGTTCTCACTCATAGCAACCCTATAGGACAGACTAGCACTGCCACATAGGGTTTCCAAGGAGTGGCTGGTAGATTTGAACTGCCAACCTTTTGGTTAGCAGCCATAGCTCGCCATAGCTCTTAGGTGTAAATAATAAATAAATGGTGTGAATAATTCCAAGTTAAAACCCACCCCAATGCATTCATTTCCTACGTGAGTTTTCCCAGTTGAAGTATAGATTTCATTTCAAGCCTGGCTCAGGCTTGTGGCTGGCTATGGGGATGGCCATGGTGGGTGGGTGAGCAATGAGTCAGGAGATGCCTCTGCTGGCCAGGGATGAAGGGAGCATGTCGCCTTTCCACACCAGACCCTGAAGGACCCAGTCTTATCTCAGGCCATGTTTCCTTGCAGTTTGAGAAGCTGGGGTACAGCCAGCCATGGATCCAGGTGCCTACTTCCTGGGTTTACCTGACAGGTAAGGGAAGGAGTCTGTGTGTTAAAAGCCCTCTATAAGCCAGGTGTACATGCATTACTTTATTTTAAACCCAGGACCAGGATTAGGGTGAGGCACCCAAGTTGCAAAATTTAAGTGCTCCAAGCCCGACCCTGCATTTGCACAGCCTGGGAGCAAGGGCTTCCTTAAATGTTGTGCCCTAGATGCCTCACCTGTCTCACCCTAGTGCTGGCCCTCTTTAAACCCTTCTCCCACTTGCAAGGTGGGTGTGATAGAGTCCACTGTAAAGATGGGGCGATTGCGGCTCAGAGAGCTTAGTGATGGGCCCGAGGTGCCACGGTGAGAATCACACGTGGACGTTGCTGACTCAAGCTGACTCCCACGCCCAGTCCGTGGCCTGTGCTGGAAGACGTTATACCAGTCGGGAGGAGAGGAGCCTGGGGCTAGCATCCCCCAGGGGCCCCCTGAACTTAAGGCTGCTTTTGGACATGTGGGGGTTGCATCTTGACCCTAGATTCTCCTTCTCAGCCCAAAGGCCAGTTTCTGCTCCCACCCCACCCCTGACAGCATGTTTTCGCAGCTTCCCTCTCTACCCTCACTGCCCAGCATCCCTCTCCTGACCTCCCTCCAGCTGGAATGCAGAGCAGGCATCAGGCATGGGGTCACCGGCCTGAGGGGACAGGCGGCCCTCCTGTCACACAGCTGTGTTTCTGAAAAACCTGGACTGTATCAGTAGTTTGTATTTGAAATACATTGGGATGCCTTCCGTTTAAAGCAGTGGTGCTCAAACGTTTGTCCCCCAGGGCACATACGAGAAACCACTTCCCAGACTTCCCAGCCAGCACCGCCACACAATTAACACTCCTGGCTCCCAGCTGCGAAAAGATCAGCCACGGCTTATGGCAGTTTTCGAGGACTGAGTATAAATTCTGAGTCCTAGCGGGCTAGCAATAACTCAGTGCTTCTCAACCCTGGCTGCACATTAGAATCACCTGGGAAGTTTAAAAATACACAGATGCCACAGGAATAGGTAAACATACAGAAACTCATGCTCATTAGTGGTTCCCAGGGATGAGTGGGAGTCGGGGACAGGGACTCACTCTCTAGATAGTAGACACTTGTTACTTTGGGTGACGGGAAAGCTAACAGTGATTAGTGTGAAGTGTACACAGCCTGACCAAGGTAATCGGTGTCACTAACATGTACACAAGAAAAAAGGACCTTTTAGTAATTGCTATGGCATATATAATTTTGCAACAACAACCAAAAATTATATGCACAGGTATATATATATCTATGTATGTAGGCATGTATGTGTATAGGTATGTACATATGGGTATGTATGTGTGCATATATAGGTGTATGAATATGTATATGCATATATGTGTGTGCATGAGTATGTATTCATATATGTGATAAAAACACATAGGGGGCACAATTACAGATACTTCTTAGATGTAACCAAACACCTCACAGAACTAGTTTACTGGGTTTGAAGGCTTAGGACCATAGTCTCATGGGACAACTCGGTCAGTTGGCATAATATAGTTCATAAAGTTTATGTTCTACATCCTAGCTTGGTGAGTAGTGTCTGGGGTATTAAAATCTTGCAAGTGGCCATCTAAGATACAACTATTGGTCTCCACTCATCCAGAACAAAAGAGAAAGAAATAAATCCAAGACTCAAAGAAGAAACTAGTCTACAGAATAGTCTACACAAACACAGCCTTACCTACCCTGAGATCAGAAGAACTAGGTGGTGCCCAGCTACCACTACTGATGGTTCTGATCAGGGCCACAGTAATAGATGGATCCTGAGAGAATGGGAGAAAAATGTGGAACAGAACCTCAAATTCTTAAAAAATCCAAACTTACTGGACCAGTTGAGACTGGAGGACTCCCTGAGACTATTGCCCTGAGATACTCTTTAAACCTTGAACCAAAACAAACCCCTGAAGTCGCCTTGTAGCTAAATAACAGATTGGCTCACAAAATAAAGAATATCACCCATGATTACTGTGCTGCTTAAAAAAAATCATCTATTCGAGATCAAATGGTCAGCAATTACTTTAAAACAAAGATGAAAAGGTAAGGGCACAGGGAAACTAGATTAATAGAAATGAAACAACCAGAAAGGAAATAATGAGAATGTTCACACATTGGGAAGAATGTAACCAATGTCACTGAACAATTTGTGTAGAAATTGTTGAATGGGAAACTAAATTGCTGTGTAAACCTTCACTGAAAGCACAATAAAATACCATCAAAAATATATATACATATATATATAAATAGATAGACAGATGCCTCAGCCACACCCCAGACCAATTACATCAGGAGCTGCAGAAAGGCGGGGGAACATCAGTATTTGTTACAGTGGTTCAGGGTGCAGCACAGGTTGAGAACCACTGCTCCAAACTCTTTCTTTCCTACCCCAGGGAGCATATTGGAATAGAAGTGAGTAAGAGAGACATTATTATAGCAATAACTTTGAATCTGCTCAGATTTATTTAACAACTTCAGCCTTTAATATTAAGTTGCTGTGACACATTTCACAGCCAACAAGGCACACCAATGTGTGCTGAAAAATGATTTAAAGGAATCCAGTGACAACAGGTTTTTGCAGAGTGAAGATGCCCTTAGCAAACTGAACAATGTCCCTAACTGCTTTGACCACCTGGTACAAACGACCACATGGTCATTGGCTCCTGTCTCCCGTGCAGCCACAGTGATGGAGTATCTGCACCTGGCCCTCAGGCCCATCTGCAGCATCCCACTGCTGCTCACCCGGAGTGAGGTAAGTGGGCTGGCTACTCTGGGAGCCCCTGCACCCTGGGGCCCCCTCACTTCCCTTCTGGTCCCTTCTCTACACCCCCACCACCTCCACCCCTCACCCCTTCAGCACCATGGCCCAGTGCTTACTGAGAACCTTCTATGTGGGCCCACACCTGGTGCTGGCGCCTTTGGAATCATTCCAGCCTCTGCGCTTTTGCTTACGCTGTGCCCTCTGGCTCTGCAATGCCACCACCCCAAGCCCATCCCTCCTCGCTGTTATTTCAGTCATAAGCAGCTTCCTTCCTTTCATTCATTCCCAGCCAGACTGGAGGCTCCGAGAGGCAGGTTCCGTGATGTTCACTGTTTTGAACACCACTGCTTGTCACAGACCTCACCAACTCTCAACACACACCCACAGCCTGGTCGTTCTAGGCCCACTTATTACTCACTTGTTATTACTTATTAGTAACGAGTAAGAACTATCTATTGTGTACAGAATACTATTCTCCAGTGATAATGATGATGCAGTTTTATATTTGCTCAGAACATACAGTTGAAAAGAGAACCTGTTTTAATGCAGATTGTAAACAGTAAAGCAACAGGTAGTGTTGGTGGTGTTATTTGCAAAACACTTCCAGTCCACTCTCTCATTTAATTCTCTCTGATGTCCCCTAAGTTACCAGTTGCCATTGAGTCAATTCTGACTCATGGCAGCCCCACGTGTGTCAGAGTGGAACTGTGTTCCGTAGGGTTTTCAATGGCTGATGTTTCAGAAATAGATTGCCAGGCCTTTCTTCCAAGGCACCTCTGGGTAGACTCAAACCTCCAACCTTTCAGTTAGCAGCCTATCGCATTAACCACACCACCCAGAGACTCTGTAAGAAGGGCAAAAAGATTATGAGCTTCTTGTTAACGATGAGAAACTGAACACAAGAGAGGTCAGTGACTTGTCCAAGGACACACCATAGTGGAATCTGCTTCAGACTCCAAGTCCAGTGCTCTGTAACTCTGTGTGGAGCAGGGGTGGGGTGGGGGAGTGGGCCCCCGAGAAAGAAGCAATTACCTATTATTTCTCTTTCGAGCCACCCGGAGCAGTAGAGGAGGGAGAATAATAACAGCGACCATTTACTGAGTGGTGACCGTGCCAGGCACTGTGCTTCATCTCATTTAATCTTCACTATGACTCTTTTAGGAGCCCTGGTGGTGCAGTGGTTAAGTGATGGCTGCTAACCAAAAGGTCAGCAGTTTGAATCCACTAGCTGCTGCTTGGAAACCCTATGGGGCAGTTCTGCTGTGTTCTATAGGGTCACTATGGGTTGGAGTCGACTCGACAGCAACAGGTTTAACTACTCTTTAAGTTGTAGATTTCTATTGTCATCTCCCTTTACGGAGGAGGAAATGAGACACACAGAGGTGAAATACCCTGCCCATGATCACCCACTTAAGAAGTGGCAGAGATGGGATTTAAACCTAGGTGGAAGGGATTTTAAGCTCAGCGATCTTAACCAGTAGCTTGTAAACTAACTCGGGAATCATACCCATGTAATAAAATAGCTGCCAAGGTGATGCCCAATTGTGGTCCAACAGGGACTCTGCTCCCCTCCCTCTTGTCTAACTTGTGAGTTTCCCCGTAAAGCTCAGGGGCAAAGGAGCTTAGTTAGCTGGGGAAGTTTCTGGGCTATGGCTTGGGCGCTCTCTGCTGGTCACTCTACCAACCAGCCTTTCATTCATTTAACATTTCTTGAGCATCTACTGTGTGCCATGCACAGTGCTGAGCAATGGAGGCGATGAGTCCTGGTCCTTATCTCAGGGAGCTCACAGTCCAAAGGGGAAGATAGCCCAGTAAACTGGCAGCTTAACACACTATAATAATAGTTATAGGGGAAATTATGAGGACCTTCACATCACACAAGGAGCCCTGGTGGTGCAGTGGTTAATTGGTTGCTAACCAAAAGGTTGGTGGTTCGAACTCACAAGCCACTCTGCAGGAGAAAGATGTGGCAGTCTGCTTCTGTAAAGAGTACAACCTTGGAAACCCTATGGGGCAGTTCTGCACTGTCCTATAGGCTCATTATGAATTGGAATCGACTTGATGACAGTGGGTTTGGGGTTTTTTTTTTTTTCACGTCACACAAGTAAACCAGCTCTGAAGAAGTCAGGGAGGTTTCCCAAAGGAGGTGACATCTATTTCACAGATGTATCCCTACATAATAGGTGCTCGGTAAATATTTCTGGAATAATCCTACTTCTGTACCCCCCTCAAAGTCCTGAACTTACTAGCTGGGGCTCCAAGGGACAAGAACTGACCTTCTCTGTTCCCAATCCCCCAACCATATAAGACCAGGAGCTTGACCCCAGGGACTCTTTCAGTGACCAGAGAGAATCAAGCAGCAGGTGGCCCCCTCCCCAGGGTCGGGCTGAGGAACAGTGGAGGGAGGTGGGAGGGCATCTCCAGTCAGGACCCCAGCATAGCAGGGAAGAGCATGGGCTAGAATCTGGCTCCTCTGTGTGACCCTGGGCAAATCACTTAGCCCCTCTCATCTTCATTTCCCAATATGCAAAGATAAGGTGGTAGTTCCACCTCAGAGGATTAAATAAAACTGGAAAAGGAGTTAGCCCAGGTCAGAGACAGAGTGCTCACTAATTGATAGCTGTCATTATTACCCTTGAAGCTGATGTGCCATCTGGCATGAGGAAAATGCAGCTCAGGCCCTGGGGAACAATTACTTCTGCATAATTACATTCCTTTCTATAGGGTCGCAGAGTCTAAATTGACTTGACGGCAACGTGGTTTTTTTTTTTTTTTGGTTCTTAGGGAAGAGCAGTAAATCAGAGAGGGCATCTGGCCAGAGTTGGTGTGGGGTTAGGGGCAGGAAGCTGAGGGTGTTTCCTGGGGTCATTTTTCCTTAGAGCCGCACCCAGGCCACAGGCAGGGATTCAGCTTCTCGTAGGGGACCCGCAAGAGTGTGCCAAGGGCCTTCGGAGTCCCAGCAGCACCAGGCTAGGCCGGGGAGGAGGAGCGCAGAGGTGGGGACTGTGCTTCTTGGGGTCGGAGGTGGGGAGCTCAGTGGGGTGCGAGTTCAGCGTGACTGGTGGGGAAGGTGCAGGGAAGGCATCTTGGAGACGGCGACCTCGAGGAAAATGGAGATGGAAGCCGAGGGCACACAGCACACAGGTCCTTTTAAGTCGCTGGGGAGGATGCTCGCTCCTCCCCCCACACACACACTTGTCCCAGCCCCGGCGTCCCGCCCCTCGGCTACCCCGCCTCTCTCCGCAGGTGCGCAGCGTGGCCGTGACGCACACCTTTCAGATCGCCAAGGCCCGCGCCCAGCTCGGCTACGCGCCGGCCAAGTTCAGCTTCGCCGAAGCCGTGGAACGTTACGTGCGGTCTACGTCCGGACAGCCCCGCGGCTCCACGGCGCGGACGCTCCTGCGTCTACTGCTCGGACTGCTGCTGTTCCTCGGCCTGCTCGCCTTGGCGCTGCACATCTTGGAACTGCAGCCCCTGGAGGCTGCCGTGGAGCGCCTGTGACACTGGGCCGCCGTCAGCCTCCGCCTCTGTCTCGCCTCACCTTCCGGGCTTGGACACGCTCGTGCTCCGCCCTTTGCAGGGGTACCCTTCCCTGCTCTGGCCCTGGCTCCGCCTCTGTTCCGCCCTCTGGAGATGTATCTGCTCCGCCCCCTGAGCCCTGGCCCTGCCCGTCTTCCGCCCTCTGGATAGGTACCCGCCCCTGCTCTGGGCTTCTGGTCCCGCCAATGACGGGCCTTCTTCCCGCTTCTGCCCAATTCTGGCCGCCTACCAGATTCTCTCCTGACTTGGTTCCGTTCCCTTTCGGGCGGTACCAGCACGCCACCCCTGATTTCTCCTTCGGAGGACTGGACTTCAGGAACTCCTTGCTTCTCCTTCTAGATCCGGTCTCGCCCCTCTCGGGGAATTCGGACCTGGCCCCACCCTCTTCCTGTTTGGCTCTGCCTTTTTCCAGCCGCGCTTCCTAGGTGGGCTCTGCTAGCGGCCAGGCCACCGCGGTATCAGCGGTTGGTGCCAGCTGGGATGGCGTTTGTTGTTTGCGCTGTTTGCTGACGCCTCTCTAGGGACATTGGGCCCTCCACGCTGCCCGAGCTTCTCAGGTCTGGCCCTGGCATCATTTTGGGATCTTGGATGAGACCCATTCTAATAATGTTTCGCTTGATCCGCCCAGACCCTAATGTGTTTGGGTTCGCTCATTCATTCAGGTCTCCGTAGAATGCCAGAGTTTGAGGGACCCCGGGACTCAGGTTTCTGCCCAGCCCAACCTGGCCTTTTTGGTATCCGAGTTTACGAGCTTGGGGGTGACTCAGCATAACCCGTTGCCGTGAAGTCAATTCCGGTTTACAGTGACTCAGCATAGTAGGTGCGCGCGTGCGCACACACACGAACACAAACCCGTCCTCAAGCCATTCTAACTCTTGGCGCCCCCACGTCAGAAAGCAGAACTGCTCCATAGGGTTTTCTGGCTGTAATCTTTACGGAAGCAGATCGCCAGGCCTTTCTTCCGAAGTGACGCTGGGTGTGTTTGAGTGGGCAACCTTTAAGTGAGTAGTCAAGCACAAACCATTTTCACCACCAAGAGCATCAAAAAAATAAAAAGGTAGCAAAATTTTTTTAAAGAATTGGACGTTTCAAAACAGCACCAATGTCGTTATAATGGGAAAAATTTGAACTCTGTTGGTCATATTTTATGTTTAGTATTGCTTAATTTTTTTAATCAGAGGACAGTGATGTAATCTTTCCAATGCTTAGAGCCGCAAAACTCAATCCAACTCTGCTGTCCACAGAAACGCGTCTCCCTGTCGTTTTGGTATCCGTGGTAGGTGCCAAGATGTCAGTGTGTAAATACATCCATATACATATTATAGTATGCACACGTGATCTGGCCGAGTGAACCATTGATCCTGGCAGAGAGGAAAACCATCCCAAACGTATAGAAACCCTGGTGAAGGAAAGCGATTGGGTAATCAAAATCAATGTGGCCACCGCAGGGTGTGTCCCTTTTCTGTTGAATGAAAGACAGTTTTGAGGAAGCTTAAAAAAAAAAAAAAAAAAGTATACTCCTCTGCTAGGTTGGATTGCATGTACATATATGATTTTTAAAAGATCGATAATAATCTTTTATGCCTGTTTAATGCTTGACAGTTTGAAAGTGCTTTCATCTATGTGATCTTATTTTAATTCTTATAACCACCCTTAAGAATGGGTTTATCATTCCCATTTTATAAATGAGAAAATGAGGTTGTGTCTAGGCTAACTTCAAAGAGGGGAGGAGAGTAGGGGCTACTCTTCTGCAGCGGGGATAACTTGGAGGAGCTGCCCGCTGGCCTAAACACGACTCGTGATTTGTCTTCTGCACCAAAATCATGCCAGGGCTTGGGGTGAACTCTAGGACCCACCTTATTCTCTCAGAACCACAAACCTCGGGTTGTTTGGGGCTGGCAGTTCTTGGTCTCCGTTTTTCTCAGTAACACACTTGCGTGTATACCTGCCTCCCTCCTTTTTGATTTTCCCTTCCCTCTGATCATAGAATCTTCCAGATTTTTGTCTACTGCCTAATCTCAGTTTCTGAAACTCAAAAGCTAAGACACAATCCCTCTTTTCTGTATTCCTACAAATCATCTCTTCTCTGAGGCTGTGAAAGTGGAATGTCTAAACACTGGGCATGGGGCAGCACTGATCACTATGCCAAGAAATCTTCCTTCCTCACAAGTGCCTTTATCCAATTGAAAGGGGGTGACAACCTTCACCCAACAGACAAATTGAATCTCTGTGAGGATTTTAGAGGCTGCCCAGATAGCCAGTCCTCCAAGGATTTCTGAGAGGTCAATAGGAGTTTCCAGATTACTTGGAGACACCGAGCAGAAGCATCACGAATGCAGAAAACAGAGTTGTCACCTTGGGCTGCCGATCAAAAAGGACCATCAAGACAAGCCAATGAGCTTTCTGTTGTGGGCACTGAAGCTATTCCCAATTGTAGACCCCCTGCCAGGCATCTAAAACATCCTCAAGCCTCCCTCATCTTAATAATACACTCCCTTGACTCCACATTCTCCATTCCACTATTATCTCTCTCCCTGGGTTCAAAATCAAACTTCTTGATGAGTTGTTCACACTCATGTTTCCATTTCTTCTCCTCCCATTCACTGTTCACCCCATTCCAAAATGGCATTCATTGAGGTCATCAATGACCTCCTTATCATAAATCGAATGGATATTTTTCAGTCTTTATCTAGCCAAGCCTTTTAGCAGTATTCAACATAATTGGCTACTTCCTCCTCGAAACACTCTCCTTGGCCTCTGACACCACACCTGTTTTTCACCTGGTCTCTGGCCATCTTTCTCTGGCTCCGCTCACACTGTCCTCCCCTTAAGGTTATATTCGTCAGGGCTTTGTCTTTGTCCCACTTCTCACTCTGTGTGCTCTCTTTCTGGCCGAGTTCATGTAAGTTTCATCTCCAGAATATGTCTCTTACCCACCTTCTGTCCTCCACTGTGCGACCACTGTGGTACAAGCCACTGTTCTTTCTCTTGGTCAACTGCAGTACACTTTGAACGGGACATTCTGTCCTGTGCTGCCAGAGGGAACTTTTGAAATTCCAAATTTGAACACATCACTGTCCAGCTTATGACCTTTCAATGATTTCCATCGCTCTGAGGATTATGTTCAAAGCCTTGACTTGACATTAATAGCCCCCTACAGTCTAGCCCCTGCCTACCTCTTCAGCCTCATCTCTTGCCATTGGTCAACTTCTACTCTATGTCCAGCTGTCCTGAATTGCTTTCATAGTTCCATAGACTCACCAGGCTGTCATTTTTCTGTGGAGTTTTCCACGTGCTGTTCCCTCTTCCTGGAACTGCCCACTCCCCCGCCCCCCGCCGCGCCCCCTTCACTTGGCTAATCACTCAACTCTAGGTCCCAGCTAAATGTCACTGCCTCGCTTCCTTGGACTAGCTTAGTATTCTGCACCGCATAACACTCATCCCACAGCTGTTATTAATGAAATCATAATGTCTGTAGGCTCTGTGAGCGCAAAGACATGTTGCCTTTTTCACTACTGTAGCCTCAGTACTAGCACATAAACTCGTTGCTGTGGGGTCGATTCCGACTCATACCGACCTTATTGGACAGAGTATTAACTGCCCGATAGGATTCCAAGGAGCAGCTCGTGGATTCGAACTTGGGATTTTTCGTTGGCAGCAGAGCTCTTAACCGCTGCGCAACCAAGGCCGTTAATAAATAGTTGTAGAATTAATAAATAACCCTTTCTACCAGCAGAGGTTTGTGGAGCTCAACCAGAACCCTCCGAAGGACACAGAGCAGGCCAGAAAGGAACCCTCCCTAACTCAGATCATGATTAAAACCACCCCCACGTTGACCTTTGTTCTTGGGAGGTAAGAAGCCCTGCTCACTGTAGCCTCAAGCCTCGAAGGGTTAAAGATCTAGGCAGCTGTTGGTGATTTTGCAAGGTGTTCCAGAGGCTTCCGTAGGTTAAAGAGGTTTGTGTGGTAGATCGATTGAGGATATGGGCTGCATTTCTTTCTTTCTTCTCCTCTATTCAAAAAATTGGGTATCAAAAAGGAGAAAAGCAAAAGAAGGAGTTGGAGACGACGACACAAATCGGTTGAAAGATATAAGGACGGAAAAAAACACAGCGTGTGGCAGCGGTGGGATTCGAACCCACGCCATCGAAATGACTGGAGCCTAAATCCAGCGCCTTAGACCACTCGGCCACGCTACCTCCCTCTCTGAGATGCTTCCTCTCAAACTATTTTAGTGTGATGATGCGAACGCCTTCTGCTTGGTAAGTCCCGCCCCCATAAGTTTGCGCATGCCCAGTATCGGCCTGACCCAAGCTTTGGTAATTCCAATCGCGTCAAAAGCTGGGCAATGAATAAGGAAGTCGGAAGAAAAATTGACGCCTTTTTATTGTGATGTTTGCGAAGAACACTGAATATACCACGGACTGCCAAAAGAACGAACAAATCTGTCTTGGAAGAAGTGCAGCCAGAATTCTCCTTAGAAGCAAGGATGGCGAGACTACGTCTCACTCTGGCCATGTTATCAGGAGGGATCAATCCCTGGATTAAGATTTCATACTTGGTAAAGTAGAGAGTCAGCGAAAAAGAGGAACACCCTAAGTGAGATGGATTGACACAGTGACTAAACAATGAGCTCAACCATAGCAACGATTGAGAGGATGGCGCAGGACTAGGCAGTGTTTAGTTCTGTATGTAGTACACAGGGTCGCTATGAGTCGGAACCGACCCGACGGCACCTAACAACAATAACAACAGCGATATCGTCCTGGCGCCTCCCGCGCTTACCGCCGCACATAACCCCGGCTGCAATAACTATAGTGGAAACGCAGGGTTAAAAAAAAGAGTTCCCAAGTGTTTAGAATTGATATTCAATCCACACATGTGGGTTTGGATTTGAATTTTCATTTTCCGTGGGCGTGGAACCGACTGTGGCCACCTGGGGGCGGTGCCGCGCTGCCGCT